GCAGGTGTAACGAAACTGAAGAGAAAAATGACTCCTAAAAGATGAATGAACAGGCAATGGGACGAGGGCTAGTCTTGATAAGTGTAAACGGAACAATAAATGTAATATTATGCCTTCCTCAACTGTGTTCCACACAGCTGAGGGGGGGAACTCCAAATGTGTGTACATGTATTTGGGGGAGAGGATTGAAGGAACAGTGTCCCCTTGGCATCCATCAACAATCCTGGCCAAAATGGTCGGGACGCCTTGCAATAAGCATACCCTCCCTGGCTGGCCAACTTTCCCCCCCCCATCAATGCTGTTATTTGGAGCTGAAGTACAGACTATGCAATGAGAAACAACATGGAGAGGGGGGAGGGGCCCAATGAGATTTGGCTGGGATGATAGCAGTTTGATGCACGTAACATTACTGCCTTTTTAAAGGCACCCATGATCTTTAGAAAAGACAAATAAGTTGATGTCTCACAAACTGGGCACAGTATTAGTCAGAAGATGCACACATGTGAGCAACACATCCTTATGTTCTCTTCAACATGACGACGAGTGGAAGGGAGGGGCTTATGAAAGGAGGGTGGAGGAGGAGCCTATTTGAACTGAAAATTGAACACAAGACAAAACTGTGCTCATTGACCATGATGCATTTCAAGATGGTTATTTGTTCATTCTCGAAAAGTCCATCTTGTAATGAAGGAGGCAACTATGCGTAAACAGCTATCCAATCTGTCCACACGAGGGTTGTCGATATACAATGCGGTTATTTGCCCATTGGCACATATGTCGACACATCGAGCGCACACCAAAGACGAGGATTTGTTCCAGAGCGGACACCCAGACGGTCCAAATCCTGCTGCGATATTGGGTTTCGCACCCAGACTTACTTAGAGCATTCACCCGCGAAATATGCCGCCGGCGCGCTCTGCAACCTGGGAAAACTTCGTGGGAATTGCACAATAAGTAGACAAGATAGAATAAGAAGGGTTTGCTCAGGATTGCAGGGAGGTGTGCCAGGCCAGGATGGCGAGTGATATCTTCTCATCTATAAGCAAAACCATTTTGTTGGTAAAATGAGGCCACTAAGATCTAGGTCAACCTGCTTCCAGCGGCATGCAACCCAAAGATCTCCTGTTACTTTCGTCATGATTTGTGAATTTCCAACTACGCTAGTCGTGATCTATTGATTTGGCAATGAAGAGTCGACTGAATTAAGCAACATGGAACACTTACATGTAAAAGTAATCTATGTACATGTATCTTCCTACCTGACATCCTGAAACCACATCATATTACAAACTGAAAAAGAACCTTGCACTGAAATCACAACAAAAATTAAATTGTTAGATCAGGGGATCAAAGAAGCTCAACAGGAAACCCTATTAAACCCTTACAAACCTACTGTCAGATTCTACAGCTTTGCCAAAAATATGTTAAGCATGTAGTTCAAATCACTTTTTCCCAATTTGGAGTAAAGATGTGTTTGTAAAAATTCTTCACACAATTTTCCAACAAACTATTGAACTCTACTTATCTTAATGGTGCAGCAATTTTCAAAATTCCTGACATAATTTTGGCCTTCATTTAAATGACCTCAATTGACAGAGCTTACATATACTATGTACATGTATCTGCAATCCACACGATATGTGTTATGGGTTGACACTAGTGCATAATAACATGGCACAGAGAAATATGTGAGGGGAAGATCTCCCAATCCAAGGAGGGTGGGGTGAGCCAGATATCATAGGGATACAAGAATATGAACAATCCACGCAAACTTTCCATCTGGTTGTATATGACTACACGCCCTCAACTGTCACCCCGTGCAAGGTTGAAGACATGGGATATCCCTCCCCCCCCAAAAAAGTGGTTTGCCTCCTCCCCCACCAGAGAAAATCTTAGTGGCATCCATGATTGTGGATTGGTAGAAAAGTGGAAAATCCCTCTCTAGTCAAACATGGAATGCACATTTGTAATCTCCTTCCAATTCCTTTCAACTTCATTTTGAAAAAAAAAGAAGAAAAGTTGTAAGCTGAAGATCACCTTGTGGGGATACTTTTTGTAAAACAGCAGTAAATTATTATTCAATAAAGATTTATATTGTTGTCCCAAAGTCTCATATTTCTCAAGAGAGAGATCTTAGCGTATTTCAAGCTTGTCAAGTTCAGCCCAAAGGTCAATCGGTGACACTTGTATGGCATGTTTACATTAACAAAGTATGCAACAAAAATGACAAGGAATTGAGAGAACAAGTTTGAGAGAACTTCTTCTGAGTTTTCACTTATTAGTTTTCAACTTGACAGGACACATGAAAGCGAGAAACATAGTCGAAACGGGGAAAACTGCTTTCCTGGAGAGAGACACTGAAGACTTTTAATCTCATCCCTTTGAGGCAATTCCAGAATGAATTTGTGAGTTGTGGTTTGACATTTTCATGACTTATGAAGCTTCAGCAGGCTGTTGTTTGGCACAACAAATCACTGGCATTTGTCCATGCGGTTGGTAACATGCCAACATACCAGAAAATTTCAACAACCAAAATAAAACCACTATCTACCCTCACATGTGATAAGCTAATAGACAGGTAATGTGGAAGTAATGGCAGTCTGAAGATTGTTCCATTTTGAAAAAAAAAAACAAATAGATAGTTCAGAATTTTACATAAGCTGCTCATATGAGCTAGAGGGCTGCTGAAAGTAATGAATGATTACAGTGTGATGGCTTTCATGATTTCAGGAAACAGTACTGCCACAAGGTATTAACTTTACGTGTTTGCACTGTGGATTCAGAAATTCTCCCACAGGGAACTGCCTGAGGCAAGGGGCTAATCACCCCTCTGTCATAGACACTTGATTTCCGATTCAAATCCCTGGGAGCTCCCAGAGAGCTGGGGAGCAATGTCTGTGCATTGGCAGTGGCTTCCTAATCTCTCTTGACAAATGGGTGGTGGGGAGGGAATTTCATGTGCTCCCCTGTTGGGGGTCACGAAAACTGTGTTCTCCCCGAACCGTGTCTCGGGGTCGGGCCACTAGGACTGGGTCAGTCACCCTTTCATCGAGTTGGTGGTGGTTTGGGGGAAGGTGGGTGTGCATGTGTGAATTGGATGCGGAATTTTTTTTTCAAACTGCGTCATGACTTTCGGGGGTGGGAAGTGGGGGTGGGTAGGATTGAGATAACAGCCAACGAGATGGCCTTGGGATTGGTTTAGGGGCCTGGGGGTGTTGAGGGGGAGGTACTGGTCCGGAGGCCAGTCACCCTGGCCTTGGCTGTGGATACCTAAGGGAACAGGAAGTCATGGTCTAGGGTCAAGCCAAACTGGGCTAATATGCAGCAGCGGTCACTTCTGTAATGGTTAAGGAAAGGCGGGGTTGGGAGGAGGATGTGGCATAAGGTGCTGCTGACACAGGGAGTCCAATAGCTATTGGAACTGCATCTTGAGACGAACAACACTCAACGTACGAGGTCTTCAGTCAAGCAAAAAAGAAGACGAGATGCTAAGGCCGTTTTCCAATACTGTACCATTAAAACCCACCTCCACTGTCCCTATGGCCACTCCCCCACTGCCAGAAATCCTAGCCAAGCCAGTACACTGCACAGATTTAATTCATCACACCTTGTATTCTACCTTAAATGAAAGCCTCCAAAAAGGAAAACTAGAGCTAATTGTGTCATAAAATGACTCTACCCACAGTGCTGCTAATGAGAGAAATTTCTGTGTGAGGTGAAATAGCTTAAAGCCAACAGAGCATGGTTTTCCTTTGCCAAAGTGCGATGTCAATTCTAGTGGCTCTTTTAGCTTGATGGCAACCTGAAACATAGAGAAAGGTTCCTTGCTCTATCCTGCCTGGAACACAGCCATCTTGAAGTTCAACAGGTATGCATTCCCCACCCCTCTGCCACTCTGTCCTTGAGCACCTGAGCAGGAAAGAACTGACTTGCGCACGGGAAACCGCAGGTAAGTTGGGGGAAACTTGAGTCTGTCTGGGATCCCCCCTCCCTACCTGAAACTGAACAGCCGGGGGGTCAACAAAACTATGCCAACATGGGTGAGGGGAAGGAGGGGCCAAATTGGGAGGACAGAGGGGCGCTGGGGGACTGAAATATGATACTCTGGCCAAGACTTGCTATATCATGGGTCTGGGGAGGTCGGCTGAAACTGTGTCAGGTGAGCTTTTCTTGAAGAATTTACAACTGATCACAAAAGTGGTGAAGAAAAAGAAAAAGCTGCAGAGAACTGACCATTTAGTGATCTGCATAAGGAAGAAAATACTGTTTGGTAAAGCAGTACATGAACATTTCTGCCCAGTTAAGAACTAGAGTTTGAATAAAGATTGATGATGCTGGATTTTTTTGGTTGATCCTAGTTAGAAATGCCCCATCAAGTACATGTAAACCATAGCCATCTTGATCTAAGAACCAGTTTCATATTTTCTGTTACAATAATTTTCATCTAATACAAAAAATTGAATTCAGGCATCTTTTTATAATTGAGGGTTTTTCGAATTCAGTGTATTTTTAGAATTCTATCTTGCTAGTGTGTGGCAAATTGTTTCCTCAATGGAGGATTCCGGATTGTTAAGGTTCATAAAAATTAACAAGTTTACAAGCACTTGGAAATTTTAAATCGTAACATCTGTTTGGAATTTTGTGGAAAGAGTTCCAATCAAATACTTGTGCCAAACTGGCTGGCAGCCAAATCTAGGTGAGGGCCAACTTTTGCAACTGAGCAGCATCAGCGATAATAACCGGTGGGCTTTGGGCAGGAACTCTGGATGGCGCTGCTCAGCTCATGCATATGCCTATGGAAAGTAGCCGAAACCACTGGCCAGAGATTTCTATAGGCACATGAGTTACATGTATTTCAAGCTGTAGCCATGACTTGTATGAAACCATACTTATGACAGGATGGACTTGTTTGCAAACATTAGGCCCTTACTGTAAATAAATAATACTCACTGTTCTTGACATAAGTTTCAGCTGAATGAGCACAAATGTGTAGCATAAAATCGGGTACAGAGGAGGAATGACACTCTTTAATTCCTGTTCTACAATTTTTACAGAGTTGGAGCACATGGCTCTCATATTGGTTCAAGCAAAATTTCCACTGAAGAAAAAGTATGACTCACTCTAAAGGTTAAAATACAAAATGAAATTTGTGAAGAAAGTTAAGAATGCTGCGTTCCTGGTTTGTAATGCTCACGCTGCACTAGCTTTTCAAACAAACGAACAACCCGACAAACAAACAGACAAACACACAAACAAAAACCCACTGCATATAATAACGCCAGGCTAATATGACCAATGGTATAAGTCTTGTTCCTTATCACAGAAAAGATCAACTGAAAATTCAGACACAATCCACGCTACCAGGTAAAATCTTCCAGTCCATGTCTGGTTTTCAACACTTTGATGCCATTCCCAACACCCCCCGCAGCAAGAAGGGGCAGGATTAACAAAATTATTGCTTGGAAACAAAACTTAGCTTAGTTTAGGAAGCTACGTCAATGATCTGAACAATGGGATTAGGTGTTACCGCTGTGACCGACAAGACCAAAGGTGCAAACTCTGTGCTCGTGGCTCTGCTCTCTGGACCTCAAAGGTGGTTCTAACTTTTCATCAATTACCTGTTTTAGGTTATAAACTCCAGAAGTCGTTGGCACCACGGTGGAAAAAAAATCATGGCCAGCAATAACTCTCTTCACAAACATTTCAAACGGGAGTCAGTTGTGTTTACAAGAGGCAAGAGATGAATGCATTCTGGGGCAGAAGGGAGAGGGGTGAAATAGTGCAATGCCAATTTTTATCCCTGAGTGGTTCTGAAGTTGGCAGACAAGAAAGCATTTCATTTTCCACTTTGGTTTCACCGTATCACGAACTGGGCTCATCTACGAAACAAAATGCGACCAGCCGTATCAGGCAACTAATTCTGCTGTTTCAGTGAGACACAAATGTGTATCACGCTTTATCTTCATTCCGTAACACAGACATCCGACGAGGAAATTGAAGGCATTGAAATAGTTGGTATCCCAACAACAAAGAGCAAGATAACTCAGTTGATCAACTGTCTTTACTATATTTAAGGGATTAGTGGTTCAAATCCTGTTCTTGTTCATCTCTGACTCTGCATTTAGTGCAAAAAAGTGCACTTCTCAGGATAACTTGTTTCGCTGGCTATGGAGATTAAAGGTAAGACGATGTCAAAGTGAGAGGAATGCCAGGGAGGCTGATTTTGGAAGTCTTACCAACTCAAAGGGGCGGGATGCTTTTCAAATTGAATATCCTAGACGAGGGGTTACGGAGAAATAGGATGTCTTGAACCCAGGCATCTGGGGCTGGTTATACTGAACTTCAGGCACAGAAAAGGATTGGCTCTTTAAAGTCAGGTTCGATATTGCTAGCAGCTTCAAAATAGCTGCTCAGCAGAATTGAGTAGAAAGTGAAATTGATGGGGCACCAGCCACAAGCACGCAATACATGACAATCTGAATTAGCTAGCACCCTACACTCGCCGAGCAAATACATGCTTGCTCAGGAAATCTGTCTGCTTAGCAGTTGAGATCTAAGGTCTCTCGTCTATCTCCACTTCCATAAGCAGAAATTGACCTAATTCCTTAGTAGTTGCAACTAGTATGCAGAGTAAGAAACTTTGGCGGGAAGCCTACTACTGCTAAGAAAACATTTTCTCTGCTAAGCACATTTTGTGCACAGTTGCTTTATTAAATTGTTAAGAAGCTTTAAGAACAAGGTAAACTTAGTGAAGCAAATATACGTGTAAATGTATGCTTTGTGATTTTGTTGGACTGGTAACTTGCTTTCTTGCCAACTAAAATGCTTCCACACTGTATCGGTATGCTTTAAGTATCTAAATCACAGATTAAGGAAAACCTGCTCTATGCTCAAATCATATGAATAACATAAGCTGTTTAGAGTGCAGACTAGTTACAGTATGTGAGTGCTTTGAAGTTTGGTGAAATTTCTTCAAGGAGATTTCCATGTCAAAAAAAAAGAGGAAAAAAAAAAAGAGGAGGGCATGGCTTTCAGGGATGAAAACCAAAGACATGAACTGTTGGAATGTAAAGATATGAAATCATAGGAAGGTGAGGACGGACGGATAGGCACATCTGGGGATGAAAGGTGTTAGTTGCTCTATCCTGACAAAACATGGGCAGTCACGAATAACAACAGTTTACAGACCCCATGGGAACCTGACTCAGAAATGTTCCACCCACATCCTCCCCTTTTTTAATCCAGGGTGAATTAAACATTGGGTTGGGAGAAGGTTTGTGAGACCTGTGACTGGAAATCTTTCCCCTAGCTTGGACCATTCCTCGATCTCGATTTTTGAAGTTGAGTTTCTGGTTGTAATTCCATACATGAAACATTCTTGCTTTGCTGTCTGTCTGACTCAAATGAGAAAATGATGGCATCTGTAGACTCTTTTCCAGCAGTTTTTCAACCTTGGGAGTAACTCAATTAGTTATCAGGCTTTAAAATGTTTCTTTTAAATTCTGGTGAAAAATTTGAATACCTTTATTCTGCTCTGCTCCCCAATCATGTAAACAAACAAACTAGGTGTCAGAAACTGGAGAGAAAGTGGACGGGCAGGTTTACAAAAATAATGCCCTTGAAAATTCAAGTCTTTCATTTAATAAATATGACTTTCTATAAGACAAATTCTAATTTAAACTTTACTGACACATTTCATAAGTCTCTTTTCCATGACTGATTAATAGTTGAGTGTAGAACAATTCGTAGGCATGCATTGTCTTTCCTTGTAAATAACTGTGGCCTGTACCAAAGCTATCACTTAATTTTAAAAGCAAAATTCACTACCAGAGCATAAATTTGTTTTGACCCACTGGCCTAATTTAGTCACAGGGTCACAATGCTTTTTTATTTCTACACAGAAACAGCTGCTATTTACATTACTGCGGGGCCAAAATATGGCGAGGGAGATCAGTTTCAACAAGCGATTCCTTTTCCCAGGTCTGATCCACTGACCGTGCTCATACTTGACCGATTGCCGCAGCGACAGAGTGACATTTGATAAATCCACCGATTATCGCGTCATTCACGCCATATTTGAAATCCCTGTCTGTGAGGTTTTATAAAAAGCCTGGGGGGAGAGTTGGAGGGGTTTGGGGGAGGTTGCGGGATTAACGGACCCTATGACAGAGAAGTGCTCTCGCACGTACATCAGCGGACAGTGCCCTTTGAATGCAAGGAGGAAAAACTTTCAGGGAATGATAAGTTCATCTCCTTGAATAAGTGATCTACATGTAGCTATGCAGTGCCAAACTTTTTAATGAGTCTTTCATGATGTAATCATTGCCCATAGTTTGATACCGATGCAAACGTCAGTGCTATTGAGCAAGGCACTGAGGACTGCCTTGCAGTGAGACTTATTGTAAACACATACCCTTTGGCAATTTTTATTTTAAATGTCAAAGTACCGATAGTTATAATATCAACAACAGGGAGGACAGCAAGTGCCTACCAAGAGATTACAGGATTCTCCTTGTATTTCTCGTAGTCTTTCCAGTTGAAAAAAGACAACTCTGTTTCAGACTCTAAAGAGTAAACACCCAAAAAAGGTAACCATTACTCAATTTGAAATACCTAAAATGATGTGTGAACCAGGTAAGGGGAATTCTGGGAAAAATGTCAAAAGGGCTCAGCTCAAGCAAGTCAAGTGAGGATGTAGAAAGTCAAGCCTTACACATATGGCATGATGGACAAGCAATGGTTTGCATGATTGCTATTTTGCAGGCCAGTGCTTTTGTTCTAAAGGGTTTGCACAAGAGAGGTTTCCCTGTGGAACAAACAACTGCCCTGCAACATGGCTACCATGCAAAGCCTCTATATGAATGTGCATGAAGCTGCAAGGGGTACACAGCCTATGACTTTGGGCTCACTGGCATCAGAGATGACATGGAAAAACTTAAGATAAGGCAATCTTGGGGGACAGGTAGTTCTGTAACTGTTACCATCCGAGGGCAAAAGGTTTCAAATGAACAAGTTTAAACAGTACCTACCAACATTGGATTCCAAGAGAGTTGCTCCATCTTTGAGTATTAATTCATCATCTTTCTCAGTGTTGATTGCTGGATCACTTGTCTGGGAATGGTTCAAGAGATTTGTTATTTAATTTCCAAATATCTGACCGGCTCCAAATTTAAGTCCAACGATTGCTTAATGACAAAACAAACTATGAATTCTAGTATTTGAGTTGCCAAAAGAGTGAAGTTTTCCACTGGAAATGTTATGATTCTTTTTCATGGCCCCGAATCAAATAAAGATATGCAAGAAATTGCCACCTACAAAAAACATGCGTTTAATATCAATATTTGAAGTTTGTGGGCATAATGATTTTGAGGGATGCAAAAAGTCACATAATGATTGGGACTGAATGCAGCATTATCTTCACACAAACAACAGGGATTCAAAAAAGATGTGACTCGATGGAACTTTCAAATACAAGACTTTAAAACTTTCATGGTTCTGACAGAAGTCAAAGAAAGAGGTAAGCATACAAATCAGCTAATAAGGGGAAAAGTTACATATACATGCCTATCAGCAATACCCAGTTAAGCATTCCATACTGGAAGACATCAGAGAGTAGCTTACCTTGGCCCCAAATTTCTTGTGCTGGATCTTGAGCGTGTCATAGTCGTATGTTTTAAAGGGAGGAGGAAGTCCCGATCTTGTCTTGATGTCTGTTTTGTAATAAATGGGGAAAAAAACACAATAATCAAACTATTTTATATGAAAGTGTATCCTCAGTAGAGAGCACAACTCACAAGACGCACAGATCTGCGTAGAGCATACAGTAATTATACTGTCAACATCGGCCAACCCTCTGTAAAACTGCTGTATCCACTCAGCTGTTTCAACTCACTTGTATCCCTGTTGAGCGTGATCAGTTGATCAGCATGTTCGTGCTGTGGTATCCACCAATCCTGTATGCAATTTCTGACTTTACTTCCCTTTTGCAAAACAATCTTCCACAACCATGAATTAGAAAGAAAAGGCGACCAGCGGAATTATCGGTCAATTGTGCAATAAGACTGACAGACTGTGCAAAGATCGAGCGATTGCAACCACCTTTGCCGTCAACAAGTAGGCACACTTATACTAACCTGTTTTGACAAATTCAATTAACTGTTTCACCGTCATGTTCAATGAGATGTCCTTGTACACGACATGTTTGATATTGCGATGCTCAAAGGATCTGATGAGACGCACAGTGAGAATGACTGGTGACTCTGTTGCCATGGTAACTGAAATATTACACAAGTCTTCGGCATATTCTCATTTTTTAAGGTCTGTGGAATCTGAGGAGAAAATGGAAAATACTTTAAACTTAGGGCAAGCAAAATGTCCTACAATTTTGTTTAGGGTCTTGACTCATAAACATTGAACATATGGTGGACTGAATCAGTAGATCAGACATATGGTGTTGAGCAATGATGCAGTTAGAAAGAAAAGATGATCAGCTGATGAGGGAAATTATACTGACATATTTTGCAAAGAGACTGATCGTTCACTGATCTACAGATTGCACAATCCAATCCAATACCAATCATGCCCTGCAGATCTACTGATCACAAACCAAGGTTACGATTTGTGTGAAACAAAGGGCCTGATTGTTTCATGCAGATTCGGATCGCGATCAGTGGTCCAACGTTGGTTCACTGATGCCAGAACCCACCTCAGATAGCACGAACCAGCTTGAGGATCACTGATCAAGATACAGATCCGCATTAAACCATGTAAACAGACAGGGCTCAAATTTCAAACAGGCCCACTGTCATGACTGTGACTGTCCTGAGACATGAGTAAGACTGTCATGGCTGTCAATATCATGACTGAGATTGTCATGACCAGGATGACTCACTCAGCATGCTCAGGTATGAGTTTGACTGTCGTGTTAGCGACAGTGCGAGTACGGGCCACTTCAATCATGTCTCACGCATCTGCGCATGGGAGAGTACTTTTAGTAATTAAAACTGCACATAACAGACAAACGTTCCACTTGTACGCTATCCTAGATCTAGGATTTAAACAACTAAGCCTTGAAACATACTCAAACAATAAGCCTTAGCTCAAAAAGAAGCCCGTGTACGTGTGTGCTTGGCATGCAGACGACAGTTCATTCGGAAGTCCTTTTTCGCAAAGGCCGATGGGACGGACATGACCGTGAGAAGTTTGGTCGGTCTTGAAGTTTTAGAGGGGAAGAATTAATAATAAATTTCTACAAGTCGAAAATGTTAACATAAAAGTTATTTTAAATATTTTTGTTAAATTTTAGTAATTAATAATAGCCTTACATATTTAAAGCAAATAAGCTTATTCGAGCCCTAGCTAACACAGACTTTGTAGATTTTACTTGCACTATGTTTTTACCTTAATCTTTTTGGTACAGTCCACGCCAATTTATTTTACAGTTCAAGATGGCGTCGCACCCGTACATGTCGCCTGCTGGTCAACAGCAAAGATTTCCTGCTCCAAACCAGCCAGTTATGAGGAGTTATCTCCAGGGAAGTTATCCGGTAAGTGCCATTGAACCTTTACTTACTGTGTTTTGAATTTCTCTTTTGCGTTTGTGACTTTAGGGGGACGTTAGTCTTGTGTTTGTGTACAATCTTACAATGCGCTCCACTTCGAAATGCGCAGCGAGACAGCGTGGGACAAAGGCGGAACGTTCATTATAATTGGATCAGTTTCGTGAATTTTTGAGCTCTCACAAAACAAGCAGAAGTGGACAATACTGCGTATATGTACTACTACAATGCCTAGTACGAAAGTAAGTGTCGATGTGATAGCCCTGTTTTTCGGTCTTTGTATGCCACTGAAAGTGGTCAACTTTTCTTTTCATTTCCCATCCAGTTACTTAGGCCCCCCATGCGCGAATTCATAAAATTTTGAAGTTGGTACAATGGTAGGCTAATTGCAGAATACCCTGCCACTCACATGACTTAAAAATGGGAAGATGGTAACATGGGAACAGGTCGGGGTACCTTGGACAGCAACTCCCACCATAAGCCTTATCGCAAATACTGCATGGGTGATTTCGCACGATGGTAGAAAGGCATTGTGGGAAGGAAAAATTGGCAATGTTTGCTCCTTTTTCCTTCCCATGGGTGGGTGATTTTGCACGATGGTAGAAAGGCATTGTGGGAAGGAAAAATTGGCAATGTTTGCTCCTTTTTCCTTCCCACAATGCCTTTCTACCATTGTGTAAAATCACCCATACAGTATTTTCGATGAGGCTTATGGACAACTCGTACCATCAACTCAACATAATTGTACTGACATGAACTCGTACCTTTGCTGAGTAGCACCTTAGACAACTCGTACCTCCAGTAAAGACAACTTGTACCTGGCCTCACAGAAATCAGAGCTTGCTCAGAGCTTATTAATAGTGCAATCAACTTGAACAATAATTTGGTTTCTTAGTCATGGTTTGTCACCTAATTTGCCGTTTTGGCTGCACTGCCTTGCCTACAGGCTAGTACAGTGAAATTAATGTGAGGTGTGTTGATGTCAGTGCATGTGTGTGCACGGGCAGGCGACTGACGCTTGTCTATGTAGCCGGCCGTCGCTGTGTGCAATTTGGAATCTTCACTGTTGCGTTGAACAGCAGTGTGACTAATTTTTCGAAATTCTGTACGAGGAGGCCTGTTGTAAAATATTTTTGCCCTGAACTTTGTATTGTCACTTGCTGCCGTCAATCAGTTTAGAGCAGCTTGATTTATTCTTATACAATTTATTTTTTGCAGCTCACCGTGTTGATGGAGTGATGTCATGTTTTCATTTAGTTCAAAATTTATGAAGTAATGTCATTTGTAACTTGTCCTCCCCCAAACTATAATTTTAATAAAGCAACTTACCCCTCCCCAAAAAAATTTAAAAAGGAGACCAGAAACATTTCCAAAAGAAATGTCGATATCAAGTCATTCAAAATTGTATAATGGAAAAAGAAGACAAAAAGCGATTTATATCTTTAAGATACAGCCTCTCAATGCTCGAGTTGTCTAGAGTCAAGTTTGTTAAAGGCCGGGTTGTTGAACATCCGTCATGTAACCTGACGGCATTAACGTTCGCAGTAGGCACTATGCAGAAAATCATGCTGTTGCTTGAGATCTCTCTGGGAGATTTAAGAAGATTTTTCCTTTATGTGTTTGTCAAATCTGATCTTAAACATGCTAAAAAGGAAAAGCAAGAAAGTTACAACTGAATTGCGAACATGAAGGTACGAGTGGACTTAACTCAAGGTATGAATTATTGAAGGTACGAGTTGTTCAAGGTACGAGTTGCTCCTTGGTATGAGATGTCCAAGGTACGAGTTGCTCCTTGGTACGAGTTGTCCAAGGTTTGAGTAATCCAAGGTACGAATCACCCAAGGTACGAGTTGACTTGAAAGCGGTAAGACATGTAAGACTGTGCCCCTTTGAATCACTGGCTACTTGTATGAGATGGACTTGTAATGTAGGTACCTAGGTGATTACACAGTGACGGGCTTGTGGTATGCAGCCACATACATGAGGGACATGACAGAGTCGGGTGCTTTTGAGAATTAAGGAACTTAAAATGAATAGGAGTTGTCAGGGAACAAACAGACTACTTCACTGGTTACGCGGCTGCAACATCAGAGCGTATTGAGAACAACACTTAATGTTACTGCGGGTAGGCAGTCAACCGTGACTCCATACAGTAGCTGGCTCCGAAGTGGGATACATAACCGGCAGCATATTCTGCAATTGTGCCCCATTTCCATAATAACAGCGTCTCACTTCAACACTTGCATGATTTGTGTGAGGCACTAACAAAGGTGACACCAGCACATTTTGAAATTCAAAACAGTGTAACATTCAGAGACCAGATTCAGATTTTTTTATACAATCATAAAGCTTATTTTTCACATTACCTTCTCTTTATGCCCTTTGTTTTGCTTGCATTATTTGATTACAAGAGGAACTTCACGTTTTTTTGAGGGGGGCCACATCATGTACATTAATTGTTTATTCTATATTGAGGCAAGTGTACATTCCTTTGTGCCTTCTCCCTTCAGTGACACTCACAACTACATGGACATGTACATAATCAAACATGTTTTTTCATTCATCACTGCCCTTTTAAGCTAACCTGATAATTCCATTATTCATCCTTTGACTCTCTCACACCCACCCCCATCTTGTTGACAAGGACTCTTCTAAAGTGTCCACCACTGGTCCCACCACAACACATTCTTCCTCTTCTTCAGGATCTACATCCTCTTCTTCATCAACTTCTTCTTCAAAGCAGGTACCTGAACAACCGCTTTGAATGTACCCATGCATCAGGGTATGCCATGCATCCAAGGCATTCCATGGTTGTTGTGACTTCGTGGCTGTATAGTTTTCCTCTTAAAATGTTCATTTCTGGTATTTTGCCCGATTTCGGATGAAAAACAATTGACACTGGTACATTATCTACAACTACATGTACCTAAATATTTGGCTGGAACCTTCCTGAATCATCTAAAATCCTCCCTCCCAACCTACATGTAGCTTTAGATTTTTTGGAAGGGTCATCACATCCAGTGTAGATTAATTGTGAATGAGTTTTTCCATCCTCAAATGTTTGTCCAGGTATTCATGGAATGGGGATGGCTATATATAGAGGGTTTGCATTGCTGCCATCTTGCAGGCCAGTACTTTTGTTCCACAGGTTATGCACAAAGGAGGCTTCCCTGTGGATAAAAGAACTGCCCTGCAAGATGGCTACCACGCGAAACCTCTATAGTGAATTATTAGTAAGGAAGTTGAGCAAAAACTCATGGAATGCCTTCTTGCGCTGCACATTGTTAATAGAATTTTTGTTACACCCATGGTCTTAGGCAGCCTCATCGTGTAACGGGAAAACTGGAGATTTATTTGCAGTGTGTATGGTTAAAACTGCATGCATGCCATGGTACAAGCTACAGAAGGCCTTGCTTTTAATTTCTTTATTTTCACGCTTTCCTCAAGAATTCAAAGAGGTGTCATAGCCTGAAATCATATGTATTTGAAGTAACCTCTAATTTGTCGGCAAAACAAAAGGACTGCAAATGCACTGTGCAGTGAGAAAAGCCGCAGTCGGTTTGTTCAGTTGTTCTGTTGCTGTTCACAGCTTAACAACATGCAGCTTATTGCTGAAGCTAACACAAGTCTGAAAATACAGTGTATGTGAAGTGATCACGTGTGTGAATTGCTGGATATTGTGTTGTGCCATGCGCATTAAAGTTCAGCTATAAGTGAAATGTGCATTGTTGCCCAAAAAGTAAATCCCTTGATCAACAAGCATGACTGATTCAGATTGCGTTTTAGTATGTATTTAATTTTTTCTTTCCAAAATACATGTATATTGCAGTTGTCACATATATGCGCATCTTGATGCCAGTGTTGAAATGTTACCGGTAGCGATTTTGATTCATGTTAAATCTCTAAACTTGAGGGTTATACCATATGTAAACCATTGTTGTGCTTTGAGGGATGAAATGTGAACTCTTGAAAAATTGTTTTTCTTGTACAAGTAGCCTCCATGGTTTGTTTTATTTATTCAAAATGCACATGCCACTGTACATATGTATAGACTAATCCGATTAGACGCCATAACTGCGGTGGCACCGCACTCACACGCACATTCTTCAGCTTGACGCACGCATGCATGTGGCAAATCACGACACCCTGTTGGTCGAAGATGTATGTAACGTACGCGTACCACCTGCCCACACGCCCTGCGCCACCGCAGTTATAGCTTCTAATTCTGGTGGTCGAATTACACTATAGACTAATCCAAGGAGACGCCATACTGTGGTGGTGTCATGGTCATACTCACATTCCTGATATTGAGGCGCGCACATTTTTTGCAAATCGCAACACCCTATTGGTCAATGTGGCATGTGTGTGTGCTACCTATTTACGCACGTTGTGCCACCGCAGTAATGGCTTCTAATTCTGGTGGTTGAATTACACTATAGGTACATCAGTTTCATTTCCAAGTGCTTTTTCTACATTTGCAAAAGGCAGCATAATTTACAATAAATCACTGGGCATACAATTCACTTTTGACCATTGTAACACATAGTTGTGTTCCAGTAGGACTTTGGGTCCCAGATGTTATAACCTTTAACACGTACAGTGTATCTTGTGAGTGCTAAAAAAGGGCAGCTGGAATCTACTCCAGCTCGCAATCCATACACATTTTTATCACACCGGTATTGTACATTTACACTGTACAACATTTACAAATGCAATATTTAGTATTTACAGTACATAAAAATATTAATTTTTCATACTTACATAGACTTTGGTATTTGTGTTAAAGGGTAATGCCACAGTTTTGCATAGTTATAAACAAATAAATATTTTAAAGCACTTCACATGTACATGATTTGGAAATTCAAGGAATTTTTTAATTTGTAGCTAACACACGCAATATTTTTTCAGCCATGCCTTAATCACTTTTTTGTGAGCTATGCTTCTGATCAGGGTATTTAGCATCAGTTTAATAATGTATGTAGTACTTCAACTTGAAGGTAACTTCTTTTAAAATGTACAATTTTGGCAAAAAAATCGGGGGACAATTTTTCTCCTGGTTGTTTACTGACTACCAAATTTGTCCTGTTGTGAATATCATATCTGATGCATTGTTTAAAACAATATGATTCAATCCTTTAGCAAAATGTTGACTGTTACATGTACCGTTGGCTTAATTTGTTTATATTAGAATGAGTAAAAATAATTCTCATTGTTTACATGAAGCCACTGAACATGAAATTACAGTAGGACATTTGTCATTTTCCAACCATCTTTTGTATTTGTCCAACCAGGAGCAGATGTGGTCAGACAAATCAGAAATGTAAAGACAAACTTTCGAAGGCAAAACATTTTTGTTTTTACGTTGAGTTTTGTTCCTATGACATTTGTCCTATCACAAACAGAAAATAGCTATATGAAATTGATTGTACTAGTACATGTTTGCTTAGTCTGACCGCTTTTTGGGTCTAATTTCTTGCACAGTAGGTGTATAAAAAATGTGAAAATGGAGTAAATACAAACCGTGTTGAAATATTTTTTAAGTCAACTTCAGGGGCTTAGCTTCCTCTTTGCCTTTGGTATTATTTTTCTACTGCAAGGATTTCCCCTTAATAGATGCCTTGTACATTACTAGCTCCAAGTACATGTAAATGGAATCACTTTTACTTGCAAATATGAAGCATTTGAAAATCTAACATTAATGTTACTTAGTCATTCATTTTTCCCCAAAACATGGTGTCGTCAAAAATGTTGAATAGGTGTAGGACGAGCAGAAGAGTTCAGTGCCCGGGAAGGTTTCTCCTCTTGGCTATTATCTTGTAAGGTTTTGGCACCAGGTCAAAGTGGATGTTTGGCTGTAAGTCTTGCGGTGTCTCGGGGGGCATCTCAAGTGTGAATCTCTGCAGGAGGCAGGCACTGAGTACGAAAACCTCGGACTTGCCAATGTTTTTACCGAGGCAGGCCCGCTGGCCTGTGGAGAAAGGCATGAAGTAGGGGAACTCCTTGAGGCTCCTCAGCCTCCCTTCTGGGTCCAAGAATCTGTCGGGATCAAACTCATAGGGCTTGTGCCAAACCTGCTGGTCATGATTGATTGCCCAGAAGTTGGCCATCACTTGTGTACCTGTGATCAAGATCACATGAAGTGGGAAAAATGAATTTCCATTTCAAATGAAAGGCCCCACAAGAGATTTACATGAATCACATTGAAAGGTACACTAAATCTAGATGTCCACTTAAAAGCACTTGCATTCTTTAGACCATAGAACATACATGTATCCCATTTCCGTGGGGGGAAAATTACCTTTTGGAATGTAGAATCCATCCACTTCAGTGTCCATTACAGCTGCATGTGGTACACCCAACAGTGATAAAGAACTGTATCGAAGCGTTTCATAGATTGTCGCACCTGCAAAGATTCACGTAAAGGTACGGTACATGAAGATACATGAAACAAAAACCTGACATTTGTATTCTGGAAGGAGTTTTAAAAAAAGACCACTTTTAAGGCATGACAAGTTAATTGTTGAGAGCCCAGTGCATGGTGAAATTTTCTACATTCAAGTCATCATGATGAGTGCAGAAAATAAAATTTATGACAGTTGTCGGAAAATCAAATACACTAATAAATCATACTCATCCCCAAACTTAAAATCAAAATCTTAGTGCATCTGAAAGCTACACAAAGTAAAAAGATGTACTTACTAAGGAGCGGTAAAGTTAGTTCATCCTCAAGGGAGGGAAGTCTACCTCTTCCAATAGCCTCATCAATCTGTGATTGAATTCGTTGCTGCACTTTAGGAAAAGCTGCCATGTAGAGAAAGACCCACAAGAGGGCATTCAGCACCGTGTCTGTACCTATTTAAAACAGAAAATAAAAAGGGTTTTGTCATTTTAAATACACACATACTGATTTTTATTACAATTTCGCATTATGAAATTAGGGATACATTTGTACTTACTAGTCGTTGTTGTCTTGCTGTTTTGAAAGTTTAATTTCTGAACAGAGATTCAGAACATTAAACAGTTAATTAAAGATAAATTCTTAGTTACCGGTACTTTAAATTTCACCTGCAAAGAAAATGGTCCATATGTTGGTTGTGATGTGTTCCGGTGACAACAGTTCTAGTGTCTGGCAATCGTCCTCTTTCTCTGCCTTCCTCGCAACTCGGATGAGAGCATCCACCATGTCTCTTATTGTCCCTTCCTCGTAAGTGTCCATGTGCTGCTGGTACAGAGTCAGCAGGTGATGGTCTCGTTTGTCCTTGGCCCTTTGGAGGGAGTCCATCCATGGGTTTGGAATATTCTGCAGCCAGGGGATGAGGTTGATGGGATGGACTGGGGAAACCCCCTTCATGATGTCGTGGGAATAATCAAAAATCTCCTGGAGTTCTGCATCCCCCTTCTGGTAGCGCTTCCCGAATGCGATGTTGTAGAGCACATTGAGGGAGGCCAGATTGGTGTCATCTCGGGGGTCGAACGGCTGGCCATCATAGCCCTCAAAGGTCTTAATGAGGCTATCCGCTTCATCGGCCAGCTTGGTCCCCAGGCTGGTGTTGCTGATGACCCGGAAAGCATGCTTCATGACCTTGGTGTGAATCTTGAAATGCTGGCGGTCAGTGCAGGCCATGAAGCCTTTGCTGATGAAGAAATCAATGGAGAATATCTTGGGCCGGCTTGTGATAGCCTCCCCGCTGTAGGCCAGTTTGACCGTCTCTGCCACATTGAGGATCACCACCCGTTCCCGGCCAAACTTGATGCTGAATGTCGCCCCATACTTCCGGGCAAGGTCAGACAGGGAGAGATGCAGCTGCTTGGGGTTGATCTGGAAGATGTTGCCAAGGAGAGGGAGGGATCTAGGTCCAGGAGGGAGGTGGAGAACCTTAAAGATGTGCTCCTCATAGAGGAAGTGGAGAAGGAGGCAGATCAAGACTGCTAAGGCAGTATACAGCAAGACCAACAGGATCATCTTCTGTGAGGTGGTTGGAAATGGAAGCTGTACAACGGAATATGAAAATGAGAACTCATTAGCGTTGGCAGAATACTGAGACAAATATACACCCGGAATACAGCATACAAGTATCACATTTGAGTATGTATATTTAATCCTGTTCCTACACTCTCAGAAAAAAATACATTGAAACTAACTGCATTTCAAAGAAATATCACCATAATTTATTTTCTGTGAAGGGTAAGATCCCATTCATTAATTTTCAAAAGTAAGGGAAAAAAAGGTCTTACCCAAATCTTTCCAGTTGGCTGAGTTTATCTTGATGTTGTATGCGATTGGCAACAACTTTGACGTAACAATCTCGGTGTAGCTCCAGCCCCTCAGATAGAGTTCGAGATGATCAGAAGCCAAATGATGCTTTCTACTGAAGGAGCGCGGACGCTTGTGGATGCAGCCCCCTAGCACTCAATCATTTTTAAGTTAAAGAGAGAGGAAGCCTTTTGCCCCTGTCAACCATGCATCGTCCAAAAGAAAAAAAAAAACCGATGTGGGCGGTGTTTAGGGGTGGGGGTGACAGCCGACACCACTGAGTGACATTGATTGAAGGGGTGTTGCCGAGTGGCAGGCTGAAACAAATGCAGGATTGAACCGCGTGCTGTAGCCTGCTCTGGCTGGCAGCTTGTAATAGAAACGTTGGAAGGTCATGGTCAGGAGTCACCAATTCCTGTGTGCACACACACGTGGGTGTTAAATGTGCACTGCTCTGGCATCTTTCCTCAGGGCCAGTCTCTTTTGTGGCCTAGCCAAGGTAGCAGACAGGGTGTTCCTGCCTGCCAAGAAAATCTCTAAGGTGTGCTTAAGATTGGCTTTACAGGGCAATGCAAGGCTGAGGGTTCTTCCTTTACCCCTGTGGGGGGCAGAAGTCTCTACCTGTGTGTGTGGGATTATCGGACTGACAGATAAGGGATTGAAGATAGCTTAAGGGACTTGTATTTGAAGGGAGCCAAGGCTATGAGGACATGTCTGCTTTATGGCTCAGGTTTTGGCTTGAGGGGATGGAATGCAATTTAATTTTTTTTTATGTATGTTTTCAGATGTAGATATTTTAGTTGAGAGGCTACATTGTATTTTGTAAGAGACTGGCGTAGGCAGCTAGCCTGTAAATGGAAATTGGTGTGATCAGTGCTAACATCATAGTCAATACATTTTCATACGTTCTCTCCATGATGAAAAGTTGTATTTGTCAACGAATACACTTCAGTCCTATGGTAATAAACAATGACCAGTTTTGGTTGTCAAGTAAATTACACGTACATTTGAAGATTGGATGCAGAGAAACACAGAGAAGAGAAGAACAAATATAGAAAATACCCTTTAGTACATTTATATGCATGTATTGCATATTCATGCCGTCTTTCATTTCATAAAGTATGCAAAAATACATGTAAGTACCTGTCCATACAGAGACTTTTGGATGTCAGGGTACAGACATGTACCTCTTTTATGTTGGTGCATGCAAAGTCCAAGGTTTCTGTACAACCTGCACTTTTTCATCCATTATTAATTTTGCATTTATAACAGGCCTTGAGCATTTTTTGGTTCAAATACCATAGAAGTCGGAATTGCACGTTCATGGATACTTTCCCCCAAAAAATGCATTCAGGGCCAAAAATAAAACAAAAACTTCCAAACTAAAAAGCAGCATGGTATATTACCCACAAATAAACTGTAAGTGTGAAATGAAAACTTCAGTTTCAGTCAAGGTCTTGACTAAACAGCTCACACAACTAGTTTGTTGTCAAGTGGTTTTTTAGTTACATATATGTGCCTTGATTTATTTTGCATTTGGTTTTCTAGCCTTCATACTTAAAACGTGTTGACATTACAGCGAGGAACGTGACTTACAGTTTGTAATGGTTGGGAATATTCCAACTGACAAAAGCAGTTGTGTCTGTACTGACGTAATCAGTGGAATTCAGGAGTCTATTTCTAGATTGACCAGAAATGTGGAGTTCTGTCTTTTTGAAAAGATGAATTGTTCATAAATTGCCATTGATTTATCTTTACGTTCACTTGTCGGAATCAACTGTAGCTGAAAATTTAAACCAAATTTGGGAAATGATCTGGAAATACCTTAATGTAATCTGTGGTGTGAAACATGACTAACTCTTCTCAGTGTTCATTGTACTCTTACTGTTCAACTGTATAGGCTGTGCGCCTCTGGATTTAAGTGGGGATTTTGGTCAAGACAAACACTGCCCTCTTTGGTTCATTTGTAGCAAGTACGGGGTGCAGGTTGCAGACAACTTTAAGGTCAAGGAAGGCTTCTTGTAGATCAAGTGTGTTGCTGCCCTCTATCCTTTGGTTCAAGCCAGTTGTCAGTGCTAGTCACGAGAGGGCAGTATGTCAACTTATTGGGGCCCTCTACCTTTGTACCGGTAGCACACTCTTGTTTACCCAAGGAATGCACCTGTCCCAGTCCTTGGACTGGCCCAACTACAGCACTGAATGTGCGTGCTGTAGCATGTGCCAACATCATTTCTGTCAGCAACTCTTGCTTACAGAAAAAACTTTTCTGTCATAAATGAAATGCCAGGTTTGTGTGTTTTGGATGAATTATGACAAGTACATGTATAAGCCACATAAACTTGGAGAAAGTTGAAACATTTTCTATAGAAATTACCAACTATAGTTAGGGCAGCTCAACTGCAACACTATAGTTTTGGACCTTCCCTCCTGGATGGATGCTTCAGTTAAGGTAGAACAGTACTGGAGTGTACATGTACATGTACTAGTAGGTTTAACTCTGACAGTCCACAATCCTTCACCTGTTGGAGGATTGAGGACTGTTAGGTTTAATATTGGCCAGTGTTGGCCCTCCGCATTAACTTTGGAGAACAACTGTGTTTGAATGTGGTGAGAACCACATGCCCAGAGATTGTTTTCTGTGGTTAGTCATTTATTTTGCATATTCTTATGTTGATGCTTGTGATGTGCATAAATATGTGTGCAATTTCAGGCCCTACTCCAGTCCAGTCCAGTTTAGGTGTTAGAGGAGAGTTTCCGTGTCAGGTGGGCCCTTTCTCCATTATGAAACCTCACTACTGTAAGTACCGGTACCTCTGTGGGTTTACACACGAACTAGAGAGAGCGCTATCCACCTTAAGCAAAAGCACCCCTTCGTCGGTTGAAAAGGGCCATGTTGGTAGAGAGTGTTCATTTTGTTGGCAGTGATGCGACTTCAACACTTGCATTTCATAGTCATTCAGGAATCAGTAATGACCAGGGGCCAATTTCACGGAGCTGCTTAAGCAGAAAATTTGTTTAAGCACAAAAAAACCTTGCTTAAGGTTACCAGCTCAAAATCTATGTGATTGTCATGCTAACCAAACGACAGGTGAATACCATTCCAAAACAATATACGTCACATGGAGTTTTGGCTGGTAACCTGATTTGTCAACTAAGGTTTTTTCAAGCAAATTTTGTGCTTAAGCAGCTCTATGAAATTGCCCCCGTTCTCTCCATTGATCTCTAAAGGAACCTCTGTTGCTAAAAAAACTGTACCCTCTCTTGGTCCAGCTCGGGGGGGGGGGCATAGATAGTGCTGTGTTGCTGATTCACATCATTTGTGCAGCACTCGCCTTGATTTTGCCCACATCAATCTCCAGTATTAGGGATTGATGTGGTTGAGTGAAATAATTTGTTTCATTTGTCTAGACTCTAATGACATGGGGTGGAACCTGTCTGGAAGGAACAAAGGTCAGCACATGTAGCAATGCTTGAATCCAGCCTTACCCATTTGTATAGGTCTGCATTTTATGCAAGTGTCTTACATGTACATCAGGACCCCCCCCCTTCTCTCCATTCAGTGGATAATCATGTGTTGTGGATTCCATGCACCAAATGTACGCTCATATCCAACGACACACATACATGTACATAACTCTTTCTGCTGTACCATGTACATTTCACATACCATACACACCCTAATTTATTCACAAAATGTCAAAATCCAAAGCGAACACGTAAAGGATTACCTCATTTTTCTAACCATTATAATGAAACAGTTTGAATACATGTACTTGTGTATACATAATTTACGTTTACGTGAGATAGAGCTGAGTGTGTGCCTATGAAGAAAAAATTACGTTTGAATAAATACACCGAATTAATATCAGTTCCTCAGTCCACACCACACTACTGTCTTTTAACATGTCGAAACTCCAAGCCCATACACCTCAGCTCGCACTGCAGGCAAGCCTTCACAAAAATTACAAAAATAAATGTTTCCTCAAACCAATTTGAATCTCGGTGAACCTTACGAAATAAATGATGAAAATTACACAGAAAAAGCCACTAAGATGGAATACAAATGTTGGAGAAATATTATTGAATTACTTGGACTTCTGCAATACATCGTTTCGTTTTTTAAAAATAAAATACAGAGCATGCCTCTTCCCAAATTAAAAATATTTAAAAAGATTGAATCACAAGTTGCGTAAAGTATTCCCATTGACAACATAACATTCGTAAATAAATCCATGTATTTTTATCTGTTATTTGCATTGGTGCAAAGAGCTAGATTGTGTTAAGGATTAATAGGATACATCATAAGTCAATTTTACAATAAATATATATGGAAAAATCTCCTGATTTTAAAATACACGCGTTTGTTTAGGTCACTAAAATAGAATATATACAGTCAAGTCTAGTGGCTACAGCACTTGTTACAAAATTAATTCCCACCATTATGTGCTACACGAATGGGAAACAGTGTGAGTTGACAAGATTTAGGTATACCCCACCATGCCCAGTTTAAATTAGTATTTTTTAAAATGAGGAAGTTTATTGGTGATTTTTAGGGGGGTGAAGTTGATACATATTTTAACAATATGATATTATGAAAAATTGGTGTGCAGTGCTCTCTGTTTCTGAATACATGTACATGCATTCTATAGTGTAATTCAATCACGATAATTAGAAGCCATTACTGCTGTGGCGCAACACTCGTGGACAGGTGGTACGCGCACGTGACATGCCTCTTCAACCAGCAGGGTGTCGTGATTTGCCAAATGCACGTGGGCACCAAGCTAAAGAATGTGCGTGTGAGTGCAGTGCCACTGCAGTTATGGCGTCTAATCAGATTAGTCTAATCATGATACTGACTTTCTCTTGATTAAAAATCATCATAGAAACTTCATTTCTGGGAGGTCTTAGCATTGAGCTGTACCCTTGGCTTGTAAAATAAAACTGTGACTTCCTTCCAGATGTGTACATAAATGTACATGTACTTTACCTTTATCACTGTCAAAAGGAAAGCTTAGACAACCTGTCTCTGTACACAGTAAAAAAAACCCATTAACCATGTGGCTTCATCTTTATGACGATAAAAAAAATGCTACAGTATAATTTGTTGTGTACAGTGCATGTAAAGACAATATTAACAACTACGTACATGGGCAATTCCAGAAATTAGGGGTCCATTTTTTTTCATGTCCCTGTCACATCAGACGTTTGATTTGGTAAGTTCAGAACACATTTTTCTAATTTCCAAGAGTGATGAATTAATGCAAATTACCTGCCAAACAAATAGTCATACATGTACATGTAGTTTGAAATCAATTCCAATGATATTTCAATGTCAAATAACAAAGGTCAGATGTAACAGGGACACAAAATGTCAAACTTTTGGACCCCTAATTTCTGAAATTATCCGCGTACATGTACATGAGAGCCTCGCTGATATAAAGTTTTTTAAATCTCGGAAACGGAAGACAGCATAAGAAATTTGTATTGAGACTTAAAGCCCTGGCAGTTGAGAAAAGTTGAAGTACAACACACTGTGATTTCTTTCATCTCATTCAAGTGCTGATGTGTAGATACATACAGGTGTGTAAAGTCTGCCAAAAGTGGGGTTACCAACCACTTTCTTTTTTGGGGCAGATTTTATGTGTAAAGCCATAAAAGATCAAGTGGCTTTGAGACTTGTAGGAAATGACCATCCGTCGTTCCATAACTTCCATAAATTGGACCCAGTGTAGGTGCATATTTCTCTGTTGTACAATCATGCCAATTTGCTAAGTTGTGGTAAGACTAAAACAACCTGCTTACCACCGTTTGACCAGTTACATTTGGAGGGCCACAGTGCAAAGTGGGCCACTATACAGAGACACAGAGGTCTGAATGTGACTTCAGTTAATTAGCAACAGGTGTTTTTAGTACCTGTGTCCTATATGTACATGGCCCGCTCCAGAGCCCTGATCTGGTAAGGCTTGGGGATGAGAGACACTGAGGCCAGCCCTTCCAGGTCTGCCTTGGCATTCTCGGGCAGCTGGAAGCAAAACTTGTGCAGGAGTTTGCCCAGGAGGAGGAAGAGCTCTGCCTTGGCCATCCCTTTACCGATGCAGCTACGCTGGCCAGTGGAGAAGGGCATGAAGTAAGGGAACTCAGACATGTTTCGCAGGTTCCCGTCTGAGTCCAGAAAGCGCTCGGGGATGAACTCATGAGGCTGGTCCCAGACAGTCTCGTCATGATGTACGGCCCAGAAGTTGGCCATCACTTGGGTTCCTGGTTCAATTAAAAAAAAACACACACACAGAATTTGTTTAAATTTGTATCCGAGTTGATCACTGACATATATGTAAGTAAGCTTGGTGAATAAGTCAGCGTGTATTACATGCACTAGGTTTTGAGTATAGCGCCCTCTTGTGAGATGTTTGGATTCACTGTTCCTAATTTACATTCCAGAACTTTCTGCCAATGAGTGGTCTCCATAGGCAAGGAATTCACACTGTCAGTAGAGGGGGCTATTATCAAAAGCTGTACTCTCAGTCAAGCATGATGCAGTATTATCAAAATGATGTAATAATATTACAAGTGTGTGATTCCAATGCATTCATGTGACCATTACATATATGTACATGTATGTTCATTACAAATATTAGAATTACACTGTAACTTCTGAGTCAAAAATCAAATGTGAAAGTTTACAACTGAGGAAATATCAAATGCACCAATAAATTCCATTATTAGTCATTTGACATGTGAATTGTAAGCTTTTGGACAGACTGTCACTTGACTATTCTTCTTCCAATTCAGTGGGTGCAGATTTGGCCATACATGTCCATAATGAATTGGCTGTGGCTTAAAACTGCATGTGAGTCTATGACAGTGGCTGCTGACACCACCCATAGTCATTCAATTTCAAATCACAGCTGAGCAATGTGGACACAGCTTTACACTCACAGTTAGAAATGAACTGTGGTGCCTCTGTATTCCTTATATTTTCATAATGATGTCACTGATGTCCCGAGGAAACTATGCAAAGACGGTTGAAAGCATTTTCACCTTTTGGGATGTAGTAGCCTCTAACTTTGGTGTCCACAGCTGCGGCATGGGGAACCCCTAGCGTCGTCAAAGAGCTGAAACGCATTATCTCATTGACTGTAGCTTCTGTTAAAATATTGACAAGATAAAAATGTTTGCTAGTTGTGCCTAGGTCCATTTACTTTCTTTGTTAGGATTTTGTTTTTTGTTTCCTTCAAACACTGTTTCTTTTTCATGGATTGTGCTATTGTAAATCAATATACAGGTGCCATAAGGGCACATTAAAAAAAAAATTGGTGAATGTCCTTTTTAAAAATAATCTTGAGGTTGGAAGGCTTTTTTTTTTGGTTGGTTCAGTTCAACATGCCTTACATCTTTGTCGGATTAAGAAATATTAAATAAAGAGTAGTTTCCTCAGTGAAATGAGTTTTATGTACACAGGCCAATCATTCATCACAAAAGGAGATAGGTCTAGGGGTTGTACTGCTGGACAAAACTAGGAGGGTTTTCTCTGAGATGGTCATGGTGCTGTAGCTATGTGAAGTGGAATCAGTATCAGGGAATGGGCGCCACTGTTGGGTACTAACACAGCATGCAGCAGAGGTCGAGACCGCGTCCGAATTACACGCTGTGGCTGCGACCGCATTGTACAAAGCTATGTGGTAGCTGGCTACACTATTTTCACAGGTTTTTGTGTGCGGCCGCAACTGCGGCCAATAATTTGTGAGTCATATTGATCAACTTGGCTAAAGCTTGCTACGTCTTACATGCAATGTCCATGTTATCACAAATATTAAGTATTTTTTGGGCAGCTCGGTCTTAAGTGTTTTGATCCTTAATACCTGGGAATTTTTGTTTGCTTGGAATCTCCTTGTCTGAAATCCCTCACATTCTTTAAAGTATTGGAACCCAGTGCCACATTCTTTGTATTTCAAACTTTCAAGTGTCATCAAGCCCCATAAAGTTAGAGGGATTCCGACCTCTGCCAATCTCAGCAGAATCCTTCAGAATTTCCTCTTGGATTTTTAAAAAAGTATCTCGGAGGGTTACAGTCAAAGGCATAGAGAACTGTGAATTGACTCACCCAAGTAAGGAAGCCTGGCTCGGCAGTTGAGCGTGAGTAGTCCATCTTTCCCAAGTACCTGTTCAATCTGGTCATGGACCTTTGCCTGTTTCTTGGGAAATGCTGCCATGTACAGCAGACCCCATTGGAGAGTATTGGCCACAGTGTCAGTACCTGCACATGCAGGAAAAATGGGTACAATTAATGGCATTTTGTTTGTCCATGCAAATTTGCAAGACTGAAGACTGGGGTATTGCTAGGATGTAACCAGTAAGCAAAAATCAATGGAATCTGTGTGTCAGATGCTATTGGACTTGAAAAGTGGTAAACAGGTTTTATGTGTCTGTGTTTATTTGCTTAACTGATTTACATTTAGATACAGGCCTATTTGTTATTAATTAGCATTGTGTGTGGGTGTACTCTGCCCATTCATGTATCTGCATCAGTAACAACTTTTTGGGGAAAAAACGTGTGCTTTTCCGTCTACTTGTACTGCATTTTTCTTTTCCTGTACTCTGTCATCATTATTGTGTAAGTGTAGGTTTAATATGAAGACAATGTTATCAGTGGCACTGGTAAAGTGCACTTATGTAGTCTTGCTATCAAACTTTGACACAAAAGATAGAATACTGAATGTGCTGTTAAGATCTTGACTACTGCACCACATACATGTATCATTTGATACACAGCATATCCTTAAGAAACATGCTGACATGTACTTGTCTTTTCAGGTGGTGGGCCTGCCTTAGGTATCTGTTAAAACTGCTCCTCTGTCACTCTTGCATTGAAGGTAGTTGTCTGACCAGCGTTAAACTAAACGAGACAGTTTTCATTTGACTTACCTGCAAAAAACATCAACCACATGTTGATGATTATGTGCTCGGGTGTCAAAACGCTTAGGGAGTTGTCGTCCTTCTCCTGCACGGCTTGCTTGGCTGAGGCCAGCATTGCATCCAGCATGTCCCTGATCTCGCCGTCCTTGTATGTGGCCACGTGCTGAACGTATTTCCTCATCAGTAGTCTGTCTCGCTGCTCCTTTGCCTTCATCAGCCGCTCGAACCACTTGTTGGGGAAGTGCCGTAACCAGGGCAGAGCGTTGACAGGATGGACAGGGGAGATCACCTTTAAGATTTCAGCCGAGTAGTCCAGGATGTCATGGAGCTCGGGGTCGGTGTGTGAATAGCGCTCCCCAAAGGATATATTACAGAGGACATTGAGGGAAGCCAGGTACAGGTCCTGGCAGGGGTTGAATGGCTTGCCATGATAGTCCAGGATTTTGTTGATGAGGCAGTCGGCCTCTTCGCTGATTTTCACCCCCAGGCTGCTGTTGTTGATGATCCGGAGTGCACTCCGACAGAGTCTTGTGTGCAGCCGCCACTGGTTGGTGTCATTACACGTCAGGAACCCTTTGTCTCCAACCAACACGTCCATGCAGTAGATGTTGGGCCGGTGGGAAATGTCTAGTCCCTTGTAGGCCTCCTTGATCACATCACAAGTGTTGAGGATCACGACCCGCTGGGAGCCCAGCTTGATGCTGAAGATGTCACCGTATTTCTTGGCCAGTTCCAGCAAGGAGAGGTGGGGGGCCTTGGGGTCCAGGCTGAGGGCGTTGCCAATGAAGGGGATGGAAGGGGGGCCGGGAGGCATCCGACGGATGGTGTAGTCATATTGTTCTTTGAGGTAGTACATGGCACAGAGTGCTGTGCCGCACAGGCAGGCCGTGAGAATCATGATGCCGTCCTCTGTCTGATGGTCTCTTCAGTCAAGTAGTTGATTTCCTCGGAGGTAAGTCTTGTGTGTTTTAGATTATCTGCTGAGCAATGACATGTCCAAAGAAAGGGAAGTTGGTTTTTGTAAACATTAATTGATGACACATGCATTCAGCCTCCTTGATTTATGGGTCTCTCATTTGATAGTGTGAATTTAGTACTGCCATGAAGGACTTTACCGAATTCACATGTACCAGCAGCAATAAGACTAGCTAACAGGCAAGACAGCCAGCCTATTTATGTTTGCCTTGCGCCTTTGTCCACCGTTCTCTTTTATTCTTCCCTGTCATTGTACTGCATTGGTATTTGTTACACTGCCAGATGACTGGTGTAATGCGGACGGAGGCTTACAGTCTGTGGGTAGAGGTTTGCAAATTCAAGGAAGGAGCAAAACTGGATCAAGGAGAAAAAGTACACCCACTTTGGCTCTGTGAAATCGTGTCAAGGATAGGCAACACTTCCTGTATTCTCAGATTTCAGTGAAGGGGAGGGTTTGATGTTGTCGAAAACCTTACCACAGTAAATTCTTTAATGAGATTTGATTGGTTTAGCATTAATTGACCAGAAAGAGTCACAAAAATTTCTTGAGAGATCCAATCTGCACTTCTTATTTTTAGGCATCATTCCAGTCTCAGCAAGGTCAGAAAATGAGTCGGAAACCACAGCTTATCCTTATTGGAGTTCCTTCCTAATGAGTAAAGCCAGCCGGTATTCCCATGACGTAGGCCGTCATGAATGTATACTACTGTTGATATCCTGAAGATACAAATCTGTGTTGTTGGTGGGTCTTAGTCTATGTTGTGGCAAACCTCATTTCTCCCCAGTTTTCCTGCTCATGGGAGTCTGTGTCACCCCAGGATAGCTCAGAAACGGGAAATCAAATCTTCAAACACTAAGACTGTCTGCCACTCACATGCCATACACACATACTCAGCATACATAAGTTTGGTCAACTGTTGATAATTAAATTACACTCACCATAGAAACTTGGAGGCAAAATGATCACCAAAGTTACTTAACCCTAGGAAATCCTCAAAGAGTCAGCGAACTTATGTAATGTCAAACAGATCTAACAAATAATCCTTCATTAACTGCCCATCAGCAGTAGATTTGATGGTTTTACATAAACTCACACATAACATTGTGTTTCGGTTTTCAACAAGCACATGTACATGTAAACATTCCTCACTTGAAACAATCGGGCATTCTTCATGATGACAAAAAGTGCAATGCAAGTTCAACTTCAGTACCAATGCCTTCACAACTTCAGAAACGAAGCAGGAAAAGGAACCCAAAGACACAAAAATTGATTCAAGTTTTTGAAGCGAGATTATCATAAATGAGTTAAATTTTTGTTCTTTGTATCACTATTGCCCACATAAAAACAGGTTTAACCATCAAATTGCATTTGCCACAGGGGCATGTTCTCAAAAGTTCTCAAAATCTCATGTTGTACAGTATATAAACAACTTAGATAGTAGAAACTTACTGTGGAAATTTAATAACTAAGAGCTCAATCAGGCCGGAATACATTCAGCTCTGAAATAGTCAGCCCCATGCTTGGTTTGGTTTGTAGCGTATCAAGGCATAGAGTGCTGGCATTGACTAGCGTGTGTACATCACCTTGCTATCCGCACCTACTGAGCCCATTGTACTAGTGTACTCACATGTGTTGTCACTCTGGACTGCTGGCTGTGCACAGTAACTTGGCACCAAGTTAACCCCATGTGTGCTGCACTATTATCCTAGGCCTTCGTAACTTCACTGCACTGTAAATAGTATCCCAGACTGAAGGATTGGTGTGCGCACCATTAGTACCTATGAGTACTGGAGCCCATGTGTCCAGGCAGAGCCTCTGACACACCAGTGGCTCTAGAAAGACACCCATAGCCCTATTTATACCCTACAACTTGGCCCCATTACTCTTTGATTTGGTGCCCCTCTTTGCACTGGCTTTGTTCCTGGCCACTTTGATTCGTGTTTCTAGATCATTGACTAGGCTGAATTGGGTCATGCGTTGGCTCTTCCCCATTATCAGGCATCCAGGGGGGTCAGGAGGGTATCATTTCTGCCCTCTTTCTTTAAACCTCCCAAAAGGGGGGGGGGGAGTGTGTAGGTGACTCAATTACCCAAATGACTGGCGTGTATAACACAAGTGTGTGTGTATATATTTTTAAGCTAAATGGTTCCAGTGACTTGGAGTGTACCTTTGATCTATTGGATAGGTGACACTCAACAGTCAACCTATCATCACCGATTGGCATGCCTGAGCCGAAGCACATGTCCCACTACTGCCCCTGCTTCTATTAGGGTACCCCCATATCCAAAACCGCACATATCTGATCGGCAGGAAAAACACTAACCTTATCTGATAACCTCTACAATTGGCTGGGAACCAGGAGTGCCCTATCGTAATTGTTAAGATACCAGGGACACAAGCAACCGGGAACCGGCCACTGGCACACGGCACTGACAGTTTGAGTTCAGCCCACTGCATCAGTGGCACTGACTCTAATAGACCAATCAGAGGCATGCCAGTTGATGCACCTGTTTCCATATTTCAGGAGTAAGGACCTCATGTAGGTTATAATGCTAGCATTGTTCACATCCCCATTTTGACACCACAGTCAATTCTATATATACATGAACATGTAAGTGCTATATATACCGTACATGTATACATGTACTTTTTTGGCCAATTTTACCATAACCTACAGCTTTTGGAGTTACATGTAGGATAAACAGAATTATCATCCTGCTGTTTTCATTTAAAAATTCTTGGTAATGTCTTGGATAAAACTTGAGCATGTGTACATGTTTATTGTACATGTATACTGCTGTGATATCTCCAAAACTTCTTACACGTGTACATCTTAGTAGATCCACTTCACTTTAAGTGGTAACAACAAAGCCATGATCTGTCCCTCTTTGGGGGTTCCCCCTTGTCCTCTTGTTGGGACCCCTAACTATTTAACTGAATACCAGCATACTGAAAGGGCAAAGGAGCGAGCTCTCAAGGTTATTCAGATTGGAGTTCAGTAGTCGTGTGGTCATGGAACTCTGCTATGCAGACTTGCAGGCACCTGGTCCATTCACAGTGTTTGTTTGTACCTCTGTGTGAGAATTGTACAAAGCTGAAGCCATACACACATGCAGGTACTCTGGTTCCTTTTTACAAATGGTTATGAGTAAGAACAGGAAGAAATAGAGCTAAATAGACTCGGCCTTGGCAAATTGAAGATATAGAAAATCCCTCCTCACAAAGCAATGTTTCATCCAGTTGTGGGTCACAGGATGTTTTGGTTTTCCATCTTACATCATCTGTTCATGTATCTTAAAAAAACAGTTTTCTCTTTGCTCCGAAGTTCAGCTCACCTACAAACTAATTTTCATGAAGTCAGTAGATTCTCTGCTGGCAAATACCGGTACTTGTCCTCCTTGTACCCCTTAATTTATTAATGGAAGTTACTGTGTGACATGGTTTTGACTTGTCATTGGCTAGAAAAACTTTTTTTCTGGTTCTGGACCTCAAACAGAGCTTTTAACAGAAGTTAATTGTGTAAAATAATGTGTGCACCTTGCTATAACTCAGAGTTATCAGAAGAAATATGGCAGGACAAAGTAAAAGATCATACATTGTTTTTTTTTTATTTCTCTTCTTTCATTTTGTAGCCACAATAGGTTAACCCTGCAAGTGTACCTTTCAACAACATTCAACGTTAGATTTCCCTCACCGTGCGAGTCAAAAGCTAGGTTTAGTCAGCTACGAACCCTCATTGTCATACCGAAATATTGTTCGTAGTTTTCTCCTCTGGGCAAAGTTGGTTTTTCTTCCATTCATGGCGGCTCTGTAAATGTACCTCAGTGAATGACCAGGAAAGAAAGGAGGGGGGGGGCAGAAAGCCTGTCTTCGGAAACACTTCACACTAGAGACGTGCCCAGGGGGAGATTGCGTGGCCCAATTCCAATAAAGTTCCATGTCATAGACCTTTTGGCCTGGTTATCTTTTTTTCATTCCCTAGCTTTTTAACAAGGATCTTACCAAACAACAACAGAAAGGATTGTGCCAAGCTTGGTGTTGTCATAGCACGAAAATGGGAGATTGAGGTTTGGCAACATTGCATGGGTAGTTATGCACAATCCAGTGATTGGAACTCAAACAAATGTACCTCTGATTCGAGTAAACGAGAAAGAGGGGGAAAAAACCTATCCATTTTTTTTTTCTTTTTTTTAATTGATGTCCAAGTCTGGGAAAGTTTTCTAAGAAGTGAGCACTCCTACTCAACCACTCTCTTGGCAAGTTTCCCAGTGTTAAGAGACTGGAAGGACATGACTTTTCAACGGAAGTAGGAAAAAAAAACAATAACTATGAGGAAATGTCAAACAATTGTACAATTTTTTTTTACCAAAAATCCTGTTTCTGATCAAAACCCAGCACATTTGATTGTTATTTGCTGGGTTAAGTAGGCATTTGCTAAATAACAACATGGAAAACTAATTGGGTAGCAACAGTTAAATCTAGTTTACACATTAAGCTTAAATGTTTAAAAAGGGTGTTACGTGTTTTTCTTTATTTTGCATAGAATGCGTGAAGACGTATCTAGCTTTAGTTGTTTCCTTCGGTAACCAATAAAATGGGTAGAAACTTACCTAACACAGTTGATTTTTTCAGAGATGAATTGTTGCAGATAAGCACTCAGTTTAATGTTGAAGAGTGGCGAATTATTTGTTTAAAAAATCTGCAGTGGTGGGCCAGCACCAGTAGTGTACAAAAATAGACAAATCGGAGTGTTTCCGTTTCCAGGCGATCCAGCGCCTGGGTAGCGACCAGCGCTATAGCGACCAGCGCTATGTACAAAAAGTGGCAACCAGCGCCGAAAGATTCCTTCGATCCTGTCCTTACCCAGGCATCATAAGAACTACCCCAGTAAAGCTCCCCACCCAGCTTATATAGTCTGCCGTTCTCTTTCCCCAGGGAGGAAAAAAAACAGGTCAGACAGATCTGTATGCCTGTTGGGCACAGCATAGCATGTAATTATCCTAAGGTAATAAGGACAAGTTGTATAAACCCCCGGGGGAACCAGTTTAAAAAAAAACTGCAGTACAGTACATATTTGCGGGATAGGTGAGGTATGAGGACTTATATTTAGGGCATGACCGTCACTTGGCTTGTTGTGCATATCTGCGGTGCGTTGTTTAATTAAACGGCATTTGCCAGATGGAAAGTACATGCAGGACAGAACCTCAAGTGCGTGTGTGTCATCTCTGGCACACCTACGGTACGTCATTTGAGGGTATGGGTGCTGGGTTCTCTAGTTAGCAGTGAACTAGATCATAACATGTTTTATACATTGCTTGTTACAGAAACAGTCGGCCTTGTCTTAAGATGTCAGAATGGGTTAAAATTTGCTCAAAACTTTCCCGGCTCATCTAAAAACAACCGCTGTACTGGTTCCTTAATGATGTACACATAAAGCTAATCATACATTTGAAATATTTGGGGTTAATGCGGTTGCTGTTAAGCTATGTTTGTCTTCTTGTTCGCACAGAGGAATGCCAAAATTTTCTCACAAGAACTGTGCAGCTTAATTTGCTCTGAGTGGAAAGTTCACTAAAACTTCAGTACCTGGCAAATTGATGAAATTCATGATGGTTTGTAGGTGCACACATATCAAGCCATGGTATGCCGACAGATTGTGATGCACACCCTCTAGATTAACTTATATACCACTGGTTGTTGCATTTTTGATTGATTTTCAGCAATTTTTGTCTCAAACTCGTATCAAATGTGAGAAACAAACTAATAAATGATGTGGTGGTTCTCGGTAGTGCTTGAGTAGTATAAACAATAAAATAGCATAATTATTTTTTCCCATCAAATTGATACATTAGAACGTTACCACGATCTACTCGGCATATTTTGGGATAGAAAACCACTTTCAATCATTGCTTGACTGTATTCTTCCTATTCTTCCTCTTTTTGACTTTAAGCCTGTGCTTTTCTCAAGTACTGTAACCACTTTGGCTCTCCTGTAATGCATGTATTGCTTACCTTGTTTCTTCCTGCGTCTGGGCTTTGCAATGTTATGATGGATGCTGTCAGGCGTTGTCCCGAGTCAAAGCAGTTGGACGCAGCACCGCATCTGCAGAAGATAAATTGACCATTTAGAAGTTGATGATTGCAGGAAATTTGTTTGTTTGTTTGCCTGTTTTTTGTAGAGGGGAGGAAAGGACTAGGGATGGGATGTGAGGTACTGGCGAGTTACCGGAGCAAGGAGCTGAGATCTGAGTTAGTTGGGGTTTGCTTGAAGCAAAACATTCAGGAACATTCAACGTAATTGAATAAGTGACGGTAAACAGAGTTGGAGCGATGATGGATGTCGCTGAATTTCGAACCAGACACAATTGTGCCGAGCCTGTAGCCAGAAAAACAAGAAACTTTGTGGCACGCTGCAAAGGATGGAATTGGAAGCTGTCGGTCTTTTTATTTCTCAGGACGTTGGCACCTGCTCGTCACACACACGCACATACCTACCTGAACAGAGTCGGAGAAATTTTGTCACAGCTCTGATTGGCGAAGCTATCACAAGTGATGTTGCTCATCTGTCGGCACTGGGCAGAGTGACCTGCGCTTAGGACGAGCTGGTCTTTAAATACCTTCCTGATTGGGGTGCCTACTCATAGTGGGCACGCCAACTTTATTTGCACTCCACTGCACACTAGGACAACCACCCACATACGTAGGGCTCTTTTTAAGCTTCACCATTGGCCCATTTTGCTCACTGTTGTCAAAGGATGCCCATGAAATAGGCCACTGGCAGGAACCGGGGGGCGTGCCTTGATGCCCCACTTTTCCCCTCTCTCTCGCTTGATCTGGTCTCTAGCCGAACTTGATATGGAGGGCGCTTTCAGTTGTGGAGTTCGGTTGGAATCACGATTCAGTAGACAGGTGATAAAACGGAGGCCCACTTTGCTGTGGTTGCTCGGTAGTGTCCACAAAATGGACCAATGGCTTGGATAGGCCGGGGTTGGATTCGTACTAGACCTGTTTTCCCTTTTCCCGGCCTCCTGACAAAGTGGGCAGAGTGGGAGTTCAGAAGTATAAAGTTATGCAAGCATACACGTTCCGTGTAATGAGTGATGTACATGTATGTAGGTTACGTGAATCATCATGGTGCCAAAAAATTACCCCTAATCTTTACAGGTCTAAGAATAACAAGTGGTGGAAATCAATGATGAAACATCCTTACATAAAGTGTGACATGAGTATTCTCATATGAATGGACGCACTAGTCAGCATCCATGTACTTGATCTGCTGTGACAGGTTGAGTTACTGATGCTTAAAACTGCAAAGAAGAGGGTTGGATGACTAAAAAATTATCCTGAAATCATGAGAGTCTAACACTGGCAAACGTCCAAAGGGATCCGAATTTATATTCCTTGCACTTTGGGGAAATTCTGTCCTGTGTAGTGACTAAGTGGCTGGGCTCTGCATTGTTTATGGTTTTTGAAAAGGAAGTCTCACATTGATAGGGAAGTAAAACACCACCTGAGCTGTAAGACATCACAGCACATGAGAATTGATTGCCTGTTAAGTCTTGCAACTTCGCCAACAAGGTTTCACCTTCAAACACTTCTCGCCATTGGCTGCTGACGCATAGCACAAAACAATTACTGTCAGTTCCCAATTAGGTTGATTGCTGAGTATCAAGTATTCACAACTATTGAAAACAGTGTCGGGTTTGCTTAGTGTTTATAAAGCAGTCCTCTGCATTGTTGTTGCCCCTGCTTTTTCCCAAAGCAGACGCAACAATAGGATGCACCAGAAGTACTTTGACGTCAGAAGCCAGGCTTTGCGCTCGCTGGGTCACCGTGGAGTCCCACTTTACTTTTGTTGCATGATCAGCCATTCGTGGCAAACGGGGCAAGGCTGGCGCACTCACAGGTATGGCTGGCAAGGATACGGGCAACAATAGATAATGGAGGTTACTGGGGCAGAGAAGGTACACGCAAGGCTTAAGGACGAACCTTGCCTCCCCTTTCACAGTGGTGGCCGTATTGGGCCTTCTTTGAACTTCTGGTGGGAAAACCCAAAAGTAGCACTCTGTCCTCCGGAATACCAGAAATGAGACCAGAGACCTAAAAACCTTGTTTTCTTGTATCAATGTAAACTTGGTACATGTAAATGTATACTTACGTGTACAATGTAGCATGGAGACAGAATTCTACATGTACCTCCGTGATTGTGGTTATCTGTCCAAGTAAACTTTTGATGTTAGCTTCGAGAAAGGCTTACCTACTCTCATGGTTGCTCATAACTTTTTTCACAATAAGCATTTGGAAATTTACCATACACTTGTCTTAAATTATCAGTATCGGGAATTATTGATGTGATCGTATGGGCTACTTGTGTTCTTAATTCCAGGCACAAAACTGTACACAGTCTGTTTAAATTTTGCTTCATTGCGTTTCATACACTGGATTAGGAAAAGAACGATCAGAAACACAAAAACAGCTGGAAATGTCCATAATAGATAAGGCAAAGTCATCATGATCACTCACGAGTTTGATTTTGGAAATAGCACATTTTCACGATCTTTACTTTAACACGTGTCTGAAACGAAACTTGGGCACAATTGAATGGCAAATGTGGGGTACATTTGCCGGTCATTGCTGAATCATGCTGATATATGTGAATACTTTTGACAAGAGAAAGGAGATCAAGCACTCATTGTTTTAAGGCACAAAAATATTTAACGAATATTTGGTGGAAAATTATCATTTTGTTGAGATTTTTCTTTCATGGTGATTGTTTCTGTGGGATTGGTTGGCCACTTCTTTGTTTGGTTGTATCTCTTTAATGAACCACAGTATTTTCCCTTATGACAGTGGTAAACTCTTGCTAAACTGACCTACATACATATAATGTCCCAAATTCAAGGGCATTCACAGGTAGCCATGAATATTTGGCATTCGTGCATCAACCCTTGTCATAAGTGGGTTGATGTATATGATTGGGCTTTGACGATGTTGTGGCTTAACCCATTTCTCCATGTGTGTACCTTTGTACATGTACGTATTGATTTATTAGAGTTTTGTTATACGACGCGTAATAACAATAGGTGCGGTCATGACACGTTCACTTGTAGAAATACCTAAGCCCAATAAAAACAAAGCAACAAGAGGGATCCAGATTCCTAGTCAAAAAAAAAAAAAAAAAAACTGGGCCAGCATAAACATAATGATCGAAGTATTGAAGGTTAATTTACCGGTGCAGGCATTGCACCATTCAACCCAGCGTGATGTCTTTCTATTCTCTCTGTCCTTACCCTTCTGTTCCATGCATAGCATTTTAACCCATTTTGGCTGTGGTGTAAGTTTCCAGTCGCGTGAGCTGCACCACCACGTGGCCTGGAGTGGTGGGTCTGTGTGCGTAATCTTCCCTCCCTCCCCCCCTCGCTCTCTCGTCACACCCCAGTAATCAGATCAATGTGGGGATATTACCCAATTTTTCTGTGTGTGTGTGTTTGCATGACCCAGTTGGTTTTTTTTTTTTTCCCCATTCAAAGGGGTGCATTTATGGCCCTGTTAAGGGAACACTGGTACACACACTGAGTCCCCCCTTCTTTGCACCTCAGAACTAGGCCAGTGTACACACTTGGCAGAGGAGCGTGGATAAGCCACTTGAGATGAGCTGTGTAACACCCCCCCCCAAATTTGAGAATAGGGAGAGATGTAGAGGAGTTAGATACAGGTCGGCCTGAATCAGTCGGATGATAAATCACAAAACACAATTGTCTTGACACTAAACTTCCCTCTTGGAAAACCTATACTCCCTGATCCAATACTTGGCCCATGCCGGCAAGTTGACCTTGTACCAGTTTGCAGGTACAATGCCCCCAATGGGAATGATGTTTACAGAACCACAACTCATGGAAACATGCAGAAATTAATGCAGTTTTTGAACGTTTGTCAAATTCCTCCTTAAACGATGGTCAGTCCTTCATGCAATAATGCAGATTACTTCATTGCAAAGCTTGTAGATGTTTAAACGGAAGGTTATTCTATTTTGAGGCACACTCGATATTGTAATCTTTATATTTGTATACCTACTGTAATCACGATAACGAGAAGAGGACATAATAATAAATCTTGTGCCTGATGCACCAACCATACCAAGCACCTAGTCTCTGAGTATAGACTACAATAAACACGATATTGTAACACTTTTGAAGTAAAGTGTTACTGAACATTGTACAGGTACCTGTTGATTACTGTTGACTTTTTGCGGTGTAACATCCTTGGAATGTATACCTTGCACAGATGATACAGCCTTTCTAATCATTCTTGTAGAAGCTGTCTTTTAAGTGGTAGTTCCAGTGGGCTGGACTCCACATCTCAACGTTGAAATTGGCTCTTAATAGTAAGTGGGAACCCACTTTACGCCCTAACATGGAAATGCAGTGCCGGCTTACAGAAGAATAAATACAGCATAAGCGTTCATGCATATTAGACTTTGACCAGGGTTTAGCAGCAGAGTACAGCAATCTGAGCAAGATTTCCACGCCAGATCAGGAAAACAAAACGTGTCAATTGAGTTTTAATAGCACCTCAGAGAATAGGCAAAGGAACACAGTTGGTACTCCTGGCCATAGATATAGGTTAATTGTAGACCTCCAGTGATGACTATCTTTTAGATGGGCATCGTTTGTGCATGAACTTATATCTTCGGAATGTTAAGGTATGGATCTGTACATTAAAGTGAAAAAGAGGGTGAATGAATTCACATTGTGTTGGTGGAATTCGGGACAATCATGGAGACTGTCTTTTCCATTTTTAGATGGGACGTACATGTACACTTACATGTATGGGGGGTTGTAATTAGTCAGAATTTATACTTTGTCGCTTTCACCTTGAAGTGACGTATAGGATAGTTTTAGTGCACCACAAAGTGGCATACTGTCCATAGACTTTGTGCACGTCAGTTCGTGGTGTGGCACATATCCACGATGCATCGCTTCACCATTCAACTGACGACTTAACCAAAAATGTGCGAAATATGCACCATGGTTTGGCAGTAACTTGTTTATTTCAAGACTTTAAACAGGTTTACTGGAAAAAAGGATTTCGTTTCATTTTGAAAGGTACATTGTACAAATGATACTAACTGCACAGATATCACATTTGACTATTTACATGTCATAGGAGTGGATTTGGGATATAAATTTTCCAGTTGATAGTTTTGTGTTTAACCGAGAGAAGGTCAAATTAAGAAATAATCAAGTGATTACACAATGGTATGTACACAAGCCTTTTTGTATTCATGTCAGTTGACCGTTATTTTCATATCTTTTTGCTAGACAATCTTGGAAGTGTAAACTGACGAATGGGTTGTAATATTGTAGCTTGAATTAAATTATTATGAGCCTGGAATCCTCAAGTACAGAAAGGAAGTGGCAGCCAAGTCTTGAGTAGATTTTCCAGAATCCAGCTTCCTGTTGGATCTCTCCCTCAGATCCATCTTGTATCCTTTCATTTCCCTGCTCCACATTTTGTTCTCAGTAAAATCCCTGCTCAAACAAATTCGGCAACACATTTCAGGCAAAAAGGGCATTGATTGGATGATGAACTTCAGAGTGCAACATGCAGGCGGCCGTCTCAATGAACTGCATTGATTGCATTTTGAGTGACAGTAAGCTTTTAGAAATCAAGGCCTGTGTTTTTTTTTTTAACAGGCTCAGTCATTACCCTAGAGAGTGATGTTGTACTTCAAACAGAAGATGCAAGTAATAATTAATGTCTGTTTCTCTTATGTGGAAATTATGTTTGGGGTCGTTGAGAATGATGTACACTTGAGGATGGTTAATTAAAAAAAAGTGCATGCGCAAGGTACATGTACTTGGAAAGTGTTGAGGAATTTAGTACGGTCAGCTTCCTTCATAAGCCGCTCAATTAAAGTAAAATCCAAACAATCTTATTTGTGTATTCTTGGCAAATCAGTGATAACACCCTTTGCCCTGGTCTCATCGAAATATATTTTTCTTTTCCCACGGAGAGATGAGTTATGGAGCCAGTGTATGGAGGGAAATAATGGTGCCAAGATGTCAGTTTTCTCAAGCTGCACAAAAGTCATTTTTTAGTGCCTGTTGGCAGAGTTCGTTTTGTTCAAGGACATGTGCAAGATTGTCAGTACCATTGTTCCTGCTTAGAATCATTTTTGAAAGCAGTCAGTGTTAAAGCTTTAATTCAATTGTTATTGCAACTGTGGTTTATCAACAAAGCACCCCAGTCGTCTCATTTTCCACTCTTAGGTACATTTCACTCCTTCAAATCTCACATCAGTAGATGTAAAAGCATTAGGTAAGGGAAATTTGGCTGTTTTGCAAAGTTTGAAACAGAAAAGGTCTGTTTCTGAACTACCATTCAACAGCATGTCTCCAAATTTGATGATACACTGTAGACTTTATAAAAGATCCATTTATTTGTAAAATGACACTCCAAAGGATTAGATCCTGGCTTACCAGATTTCATGTAGGAACCACTCACAGGATTCAGTCATGGTAAATCCACAGGAGAGAGACACTTGTTGCATCCAATTCTAGCACAGTAACAGCAAATTTTACTTTTGCATCCATTCTTGGGACGAGAGCATCTTGAAATCGCAACACTTCTCCAGAGTCCCAAGTTAGATACTGAATACTCTCAACTACAAAGTTTGTTTCCAAAAAGTAGGACACCGGGTCCTTCAAATTTACGAGCGTTGCGTGAGACAGAGTCTGTGTTACAAAAGTTCAAGACTGCAAGGCAGAGGTGTACACAATGCAGTCCGAGTAATGCAGCATTGGGGGTTGTCCAGTAGAAAAGGGTTTTCCAGCGAAATTGGGTTAAAAACCTAAGTCTGAGGGAAGAGGTCAGTGTCGCTGCTGCTGTTGCTGCACCTGTGTCGTCAGAAGTAACAGTATAAGCTGTGTGGGTTTGACAGTTTTTCTTCCGCTGTCGTTGGTTATTGCGGCTGCCAGGTCAATTGCAGTCAACACCTCTGCTCGTCCAAGCGGGCGAAGAAAAGAGAGACCCTCGAAAATTGTGTGCATTGCTCAATGCCTGTAGGGTCCCCCTTTTTTATATTATTGTCACCAAGGAAGTTTGTGTTTGGTGGAAAAGTGGCCACAAACCCAGTGAGAAAGACAGTGTCGAAACATGGCATCAAAACGTGGCAAGTTCTCTGGGTACTTTACCTCTCTGCCTGTGTAGGTTAGCAGTGCGGTGATTGCGGTTGTTTGGTTAGCACAGCGTACTGCTCACGATGGCATAAGATAGCTTATTGATGTTGGTGCGAACTTACCCAGAGCAGCGTGCTGCATGTGTCGAGGATCTAAGTATAGACTGATGTTCTCATACCTGAATCCATCCCCCACACCGTCCGTGGTTAATCTGTTGTAAACTCACCAATCAGTCTGTACGCTTGCCTCTGAACTTTTTTTAAAATCCATGCCCGCACCTCGTTAATTTTTCAAGCTGCCTTGCTCATCACTCAGACATCACATGACAGGTACCACCTCCCCTCTTGTTATGTCACTTCACAGAGTGTCAAGAAAGCCATTACCCCCCCCTCCTTGCCATTGCATTGATCTGACAGTCAACCCCCCCTCAAGTTAATGCCACCACTGTCCGCACCACGCAGTGATTCCCAGAAATATGACCATTTATGTTGCCAGTTCGGAATGTGTGAGCCAAGTGATGATTGGTCAAGTTCCCTTGCCTGACTTTTGTGGCCGTAACCGCAGCCTGACACGTGGAATTTTTTGTTCAAACAATAAATTATGGCCCCTCGTATTTGCGACGTGGAATGGTGGTATTAAGTGCCCCAGGGTCGATATGGCTGTTTTCTGCCAGTTTGCTTTTTTTGTTTTTTGTTTTATAAAATAATTTTTGTCATTGAAACAAGTGTAGCAAATAAGCCAAGACCTGCACACCTGTACTTTTGATCTCCTAAATGAAATCCCTGAAACTGCACAGAAAGAAACTTGGACAGTTGTGTTGACTTTTGACTTTTTATGCTACAAATTCTAATACATGTATTTTTGTAAGAGATATGTTGGAATTTAATGAAAATCTTCAATTGTAGTGTTTGTGTTACAGCCACAGTTTTCATCAAAAGCGTGCCAAAGGTTACAGTGGTACTAATTCACCTGTGTGCTTGACACACCTTTGACAGCAATTGTTACAGTCTCCACACAAAACTTCCCCAAATGTGTTACATTGTTATATTTTGTATCATAATTGCTTCCTGAATTTGTTACTTCCCCCCTCCCATCAGAAAAAAAGTCAGGTTGCACCAGTGGACCTATAGTGTAATTCACTTCGCACTATCCTTACCACATGTTTGTGCTAATAATGCTGATAAGAATAACTTATGAAATGGACCCAAGTTTCATTTCCGTCATTTACAACAAGCAAGTGGCTTAAATTGTTTAAATTTATTAAATTTAAAAAGATGTAAATATAGAAAGTTTTTAATCTTTCTACGCCTTGTTTCCCAATCACTGCCAACTCTTGTGTCCCACTCACACCCTCGCCCCCCCCCAAAAAAATTGGAAAATTTGTCTGAGCCATCCCCAAAGGATAACTCAGACCCTGTTATCAAAATATCGCACACCTTTATTCGTATACATTAACAGCTGTGGGTGACACAACGCTTCATTTACATCTCAGTCAACGCATACAAAATTTGCACGGAACATCCCTTGAACTTTCCTGCGAGTCGTTACCTTTGCCCGTCCTTTTCTCTTTCTCTTTTTTCTCCTCCACTGTCAACAGTCTTCCGCAATGAACAGATTTTTACCTGGGTGCGATAATGAGCTACGGCTGACAGCCTTGGTTTGTACTTTTCCTCAAAGCTCAAAAGCCAGAGCTCCTAGCACACCTGGTCATTAAAACAGATACTGAACCATGCCAAGAATTTCTATTTTTACCCTTCTGCTTGGTGGGAATAAACACACTGATCTTAGTTATTAACACGTTAAGATAAACTGTCCTGTCAGCCTTGCACAAATTTCTGAAATGGTTTGAAATTCCTGATTATCGTAAGCTTAATCAGTTGCACGTACACACACACACCTTCAAACTTTCCCACGAAAGCCAAGTACGTGTATCAGCGTAAAAACACTTCCGCAGAAACTCCTACCTGTGTCCGGTTTTTGCATATCTGCCATAGTTTGGGTTTTAAAGTTTGGTTTGTGGTGAAGCTGAGAGAAGTACATTCATGTACGTGTATGATGCTTGTGATAGCATGCATGAAGTATAAGCTGTTGTGTTGAGGTGGGTGATACTGTTGTCCACATCATTACATGATTGCTTATAGTCCTTAGGCTCCCCTCATAGACCTCTCTCATGGTGCATCCATCTTGCTTTTCTACCATTCAAAGCAGTGTAACCAACTGAGGCTGGAAGGACAAATAGTCTGTTTCCTTTTATCAATTATTTATTTTGTGAAGATGTCTTACTATTTCCAGTTTGTCTACAGGAAACAAGACAAACATGGTGGCGTCAAGATAAATGTCTGTACCTTGGACTTGGAGGAATGAGAAGGTTCCTCCATACATGTACTTACACAGATTGATGTGCTTGAACCCAGGGCATATCCTCAAAGTTTTGTTGCATGGTCTGTGAACATAGTTAACCTACAGTAATACGCAAACCGTACATGCACTTTGCACATTTGTACCTAGCCCTTTAAAACTTCAACACAGAACTGACTGCACCTAGCTGTCACAATACCCAATTTTGAGTGTCCTGTCCCAAGGGTGCCTTACTTTCCCCCAGAGGACCCCTCTCCAGCCCTTGTTGACACACAGGGCATATATATCCCCTTACCAGGTGAGACAGGGAGTGTGCCAGAGGGGGAGGCAAGGCAGGGCAGAGTCTACAATTAGAGAGTCATTGCAGGGTGGTGAGGGATGGCTGACTGGGGTGTTAATAGAGAGAGGGCAAGGGGTTGGTCAGTTTTGGGTGAGAAAGTGACACATTGTCATTGATAGGCGCAGACCGATGTTTCTGCCCACAATTCCATGAAATCTGGTATCCCTGACTTCACTAAGTCATTATATCCAAGTTCATGACAAACTCCTTTATTCACTGCTATGAAATGATAACCCTTGATATCTTTCAGTGAAGCTTTATACTTTAAGTTTGTAGGGACAGGGGTAAAACACTTACCATGACACAACATGTGCACCCCCTCTCTCCAAGACAAAGTGGGTCCGTTCGCTGCACAAAAGAAAATGTTCTGCAGGAAAACCTGACCCAAAGCTAACACCACCACAGGTCTACATTGATCAACAGAGTGACCCCTTTTTTAATTACCTGTATTTTTTAATTTTTTTTTTCTGGCAATTGCTGTCCACTTCATTTACACCCTGCTGGTCTCAAGAAGCCTTTCAAACTGTCTCGGCTACATCGCCTTACTTGTCAAAGCAATTCCCCAGCAGTGAACTCTGGCTCAACTGCGCTTGCCTTGGCATACGTCCCCACAGTGATCACGTTCCTTGCTTACTGGTAGCTTTTTGTTTACAATTGAAACCTCTTTCAACCACCATGCATACGATGCCATCTCTACACTCACAATGGACGATCTCTCCCCCCCCCAACAATAGTATCCACTTCCAACAATTGCCCTGTGTAGTCCCTCCACTTCCCCCTCTCCCACCTCAAGTGAACACTTAATGAAAATGTACACTGGGGCATATTTCTCTTAATCGGATATCCCCTCGAAACCCGCTGTGTGAGGGTAATCCAGAGCGGTTGTTACCCGGGCCACTGGAGGTTCAACCCTGCATGTGAGGAGTTACCGGCCCGTACGTGGAGTAACAGGTGAAAGTACGATGCCCCAGCTTACTACTGATGTGCCCTATAGATGGGTAATATTCTCCCACTGTTGTTCCCCTCCCTAAGCATTCCATTCTTCTATGAGTTGTTGACAGCAGATTACGAAAAGAGTAGATTGCCTGCTTGGGTTCAGAGGAGTCTTTAACTACATGTACTTTTGTCAGGATTTGGCCCAAGATTTTTGAAATTGCTAACAGTGTTATATTTGGCCGCTTTCACAGAACTGAATTAGTCGGTGTACATCCCTCCCCCACATGTCAGTGTATTCACATCCATGAGTGAAACCTTAGGATTCTCTTCGGTTGAGCTCCTGAATGCCACTTCGTTGACCGCGGAACTTGATCAGTCAGTATTTGGACTTGTAGTTTGATTGATAGGTTGTTAATTTATTGGTTATTTCACTGGCCAGGTAAATTAGTCAATGAATGAATCAAATGCCTGATTTCTTACTTCTTATAAATTCTTCCACAATGCCTGCTCATCAAGTAACATTTTTTCATCAAAGTATGCTCTTATTTGTAGTAAAGATTGCGGTAACACCATGTATTTATCTTTTCTTTGAGTAGAACCGGGGAAGAACCTTACATACTCAAAGAAGAGATAAATACATGGTGTTACCTCAATCTTTACTACAAATCTAGTTTCTTTCACCATGAAAACCTTTAAGTCTTATATATGCTCTTATTGTTACCAGATGTGATAACATTCCTAATCAAATTTTCTCAGTTAATTTTGTTAGGTTGTTAGTTAATACCTCCCAGCACTAATTGAAATTTCCCATCTATAAAGGTGACAAAATCGTAAAAAGGTCTGGTTTATCTGCTGTCCTCTCCACAACCCTGCTGTCACTTCCTTCATCTCGTGAGCAGTTACAGTTCACGTAGATCAAGACGGCTTCTCCTGACTTGTCAACAGCGTGTTCAATCATGCTTTCAGCAGCCACCAAAGACCCACATGAAAGACTTAACGATATTCTGGGACCAATTAAGCGCCGGATTGTACACCTCGGCCCTCGCAAAATAGTCTTTACCACTCAGTAAATTGTTGTATCATGGGCACCTATTTATTTGGATTGGTACATGTAAATTGGTGACACGGAGATTGAAAGATTTTTTCGAGGGTGGCTTTTGCAAGGTAAAGATCATGGGTTACCAATATTTTCCCAAGGATGTACTGCTTGCGTAAGGTTCTGGCGTACGTGTCTGATGTCTTGTAGTCAAAATTTCTTCTGGGAAACCATCCATTTTCTTCTCCTATTATTTACTTAAAATTTAGATTGATAAGTAATTGGCTCCAATTGTTTTTGTGCCATTTTGAGGCAGAGTGCAGAGATCATTTTGGGGGGCTTCAAATGGTGATAAGTTGGCCATCTCTTGGCCTTAGAAAAGCAAGGAACAAGGTCCGTGGCAATAAATCTAGAGATTGTCCTCCACAGAAAGCTGCGTCTCATTATTATTATTATGTGACCACACTGATAATAGCGCCCTAATCCAAAAAGGCTCTAAGGTGCTTTACAATATAAAACAATAAAACTAACATCTATATTAATATGTTAAGAATACAAATACAATTGAAATAGTACATAAAATACAACACTTCCTGGTGCACCAGAAAACCACACCCAGAATGTGTCGTCCCAACACCGCCTATTTAACTGTCATTTTCCAGTCATCCTTAATCTTTGACATTATTTGGTTTGCAATTTCCGAGGACAAATTTTTACCTATGAAACATGTTTTGTGCTCACTTGTCTTGACAAACTGTTCTTAGTTTTCAACTACCATACACCTACAGGTTTTTGAATGCCATACAGGCATGTCATGTTTGTCAGAAGGGTGACACTTGATCACCATTTCAGAAATAACTCAAGATCTTTTTGGGTTGGGTTCCCGACGGACCAACATAACAGTATGTTTTTGACAGTGTGACTTTTCAGGTCCAAAATCCATGATTTTGAACTTGAGTAAATTGGCTGTGGAACATAACGAATGTGACCCTGGGCCTCGGGGACTTTACACAGAGGGTAATACTGAAGAAACTTAAGTAGAAACCCAACTTGCCCAAGATGTCAGCATCTCAACTGAAACCCCACCAGGCTAAGAGGAGATTAAAAGACCAACCACCTCTACCCCTCCAGACTCTTAAAAAAGGACACCATCCACTACATGAATGTGTTGTAGAGGCCTCATGGAAGCAACTAATGGGACATTCATAGAGGAAGTATTAAAACACTCCACCCAAATTGACCGTGATTTACTGGAGCAAATGCCGTGAACGACTGGCTAGTCCCCCTGAGTATTGTTAAGAAGGAGTTTGAGCCATTTCCAGCCATGGAACCTTGATTGATTACCTCCAGATGGTTCCCCCCACATCAAGCTGGAGGCTCTAACATAACAGATTTCAGTTTTTAATACTGCTGTAAATACCTTCCATCCATAACTCATCGATTGGAATGTGGACTTACGTATGCACTTAAGCGGAGCATTTATGATGTGTTACTTGTCACAGGTGTTTTGCCATTGATAATGGCTAGTTGGCGTTCAATTTATGTGTTTTTTTTTTTAGTTTTCAATACGTTAAAAACTGCCTTATGAAAATAAGTATCCCCTTTTTAATAGCAATACACAATAATTTTGGAAATTTACACATACACTGACTGAGGGTGAGTGCAGCAAATAGCACTTATAATTTTTATCTTAAATCATGCTGTGGAATATTGAAATTTGGTACCAGAAAACTTGGGCAGAATTCTTCTGTTGTACATACAAAAATGTACATTACATAGCATTTCAATAATCAGCAGAAGACTTGGTTAGAACCCTTTTTCCGCACCATGACATTTGCTTTTCAAAAGAAATGCATTCCTTCTGTTCATCTCAAAATGAAATGAATGGTTGATTATAAAATATTATACATTAGTGTTTATTCAAATCACAGTCTTTATCTTTCCATCTGTCTCTTCATGAGTTTGTACGAAATGTTTGTTTCCTTTTATTCGGCTGATAGTTGCCTGCCACTGTCACAGTGTGCTTCAGATCAGAGGTGTTAGCAATGAACTCCATGCACAGTACCCTATGGGCACTAAGAGTCTGCTAAGATTGAATAGCATCGGGAAATGAACAATTATGTGCCTTGTTTATATATAAATGTGGACCTGATCTACCTGAAGAGAGTTCCCAAAACGACCGCCCGCAAATCCTTCAACCTCCCCTGCCAAGCAGTTCTGTTTCCCAAATTATCCAATCATCTTTTTCCTCTCTCTCTGCTGCATCCTTTCTTATTGTACCCACAATCCAATGTCGATGAAGAATGCTTGAGAATTTGTGGCCGCCCAGTCTCCCAGATTTGACGCTTTGTTCTCTGCCCGCTGGAGCAATGACAAAGGATTGAGGGCAGGATGGGCGGTCTACTTCTATCGGATCTTCACGGGGAGGGAGGTGACAAGAAATTAACCCCTTAAATGGCATCAGAGCAAGCAGCGAGGAGAGACGGCACACATTATAGTCATAATGACTTGGAATGCCCTTTGGGTCACGGCAGTGCTTGCTTTTGGAGATTTGTGCAGAAGGACCGAATGGAAATCTTCAGCTTAAACAAAAAAGTGAAAATTGTGACCACATTTTAGTGATTAGCAGTGAGGTTTGACCCCTTACTTCTTGCGAGTTGCACAGCCTGCGGAAGTTAATTTAAAAGTCATTAGCCAGGGTCGGACAATTTACTTGGAAAAAATCAGGCGAACCTGTGGACAAGATATTAGTAAGGCGTGTTTCAATGGGAGGAATGACCTTTTGACCACTTTGGCCTGTCCCGTAGGTTCCAAGAGCATCAGAGTAGTTTGTCTACTAGCTTTGTTAAGAAAATTTCTACTTACAAGTATCTTACATGTACAACTTGTATTAGAGAGCAAATGTTATAAACAATTATCTCAATGCAGCTTTTTTTGTGGTGTATAGCTAGTAAAAACCAAGTCAGGTAGTTACATGCAAAAGCTTTAATTTAAAGACTTGAGTTGAAAATGCCATCCATGAAAACAATTTAACTCATGAGTAATATGTTGCACACTTTTTAAACTTGTTTGGTGCAAATGCACTAAAAAGGACCCAAGAATCTTGTCCTCCCTCCTTGACCCAATGTGAAAATAATGCCAGTGGGGTCCAGAGTCAGGTAATTGGAGAGCTCTTCATGAGTCCCTGTTCTGGATCATTTGGGGGGGCCTGGTACCAGGTTTATTCCAGATTACAACTTCACTGACAGATCAACTAGCAGGGCCAGCCAGCTTTGTCCAAGCAGAGGGAGCTTACTGTGGGCAAATGCGCCTGAGTCTGCATACCCTCCACACCTGTTGCTGAGTGAATTGCCACAGGTTTCATTTCAGCTCTGTTCACCTTTTGCCTTTGCAGTTCTCTTTGTCATTGTTTCTTGGTCAGGATGTAAAATTGAGACATCAAAGTAGCAGAGTAGGCCCACGTTCTCAACTTGTTCTTGTGAACTGCGAAGGGAACACACTCTCCCCCCCTTTAATTCTCTTGGGTATTTTTGGGAAACAAGATGGCTGTTCTTGCCCACTATTTGACACATGTTGCTTTGTTACAGCATAAACAGAGATTTGATATTTCAGCGGGGAGTTCTCCAAACAATTTGATCAATGCCTAGTGTACTTGTGGAACAAATCCAATCATATGCGTGATCTCCATACCTGTGTGCCTCTATGACCAAGGCCAGCATTCCAATACCAATCATTTGTTTCATTGTTCAAGAATGCGGACACGATCAGATGCATGAGAGATAATCATCATGCCTCCACTTTTTTCTGTTTTCCCCGCCCTTTTTTTTTTTTTTGGAAACATAGAGTAACAAAGCTGTCTTGGCTTGGTGTGGTCAGTTAGACCTTGGTGTAACGTCTTTTGTTAGGAAACGTAAACCTTCACACTTTGTGTTTTGACAGGCCAGGGTTTTTTGGGGTTGGGTTTACTTTCTCCTGCTGAGTAAGTGGGTCAACTCATGCAGCTAAGGCTTCCCAATTCCTTTTTCTACTACCTCTACAAAGTCAAATTATGGTTGCTCAGAGCATGGGCCTGATTGGTGGGCATTGCAAAGGGGGACAAGGGGGATGCTCCTCCCCTCTCTCTCTCCCCCCCCCCAAAAAAAATGACAATGGAGAAAAGTCAAAATCAGTCCTTCCATTATCAATGCTAGATCAGGTCATGAAGCTGAACCCCCTCCCATATTATTCCCTGTGAATAAAGTTTTGCCCTCCACCCCCTGAAAATATCCTGGCAATGCTCACCCCTCCCTCCCCTCCCCATCAATGGCAATGCCCATGGGCTAATTCCATGGGAACGTATGAAACAGAAAATTGCTTAGAAATACATGTACACGTACGTATGTGTGCTGAGCAGAAATATGGCTGAGAACTGATCGCAAACTGTATGTATGGCATGAAAGTGTCGGCTGGTAAACCTGTTATTGCTAATCAACTGCTTTCTGTGCTAAGCAAAAATGCTTGTGCTCAGTACCTTCTAGGTCATTCATTGTAGAATACCATAGCCCCAAAAATTGTACATGAATTTAACTGTTCAAGCTATTTGCTCAGAGCAGCTTTTGTTTGTGTACAGATTTTGGTTTCTGTTTGTATTCCCGTTCCCCTTTTTATATTATGGCATTTCCAATGATGCAGGTACAAAGAGAAGTAGCTTTGCTGAGAGATCTGGGGCCAATTTCATAAACCTGCTTAAGCACAAAAAACCATGCTTAAAAAACAAAGTTTACCAGCTCAAATTGTGATTGTCATGCTAATGTAAAGACAGGTGAATACCATTCCAAAACAATATGCATCACATGGAGTTTTGGCTGGTAACCTGATTTGTCAAGCAAGGTTTTTCATGCTTAAGCAGATTTTGTGCTAAAGCAGCTCGATGAAATAGGGCCCCTGAGTGTTTCATTTATTGAAGTTGAAGCATATTTCAAAATGCTACTTAGTCCGCTCAGTGGAGAGTTTTTAAGATCAAGATCAGAAGGGCCTAGAAGGGTAGTGATACCAAGTAAAATGTTTTTGCCTTCTTTCCTCAGAGGCCCAGTGGTTCGGGGCAGCGTATGGCCCCAGGAATGCCGCCTCCTTACAGTGGAGGGATGCGAGGTGCCATGGGACAAGGTATGGATCCCTCTCGCAAACGCCATGCCCACCCATCCGATGCACAGAAAAAGGGACAAAGGTATGATTCTCTCCTTACTCTCTGGATCAACACAAGCCATGCCCAGGTTTTTTTGGTAGTATTTGAATGGATTATAGAGTGTAGTGGCTATCCATTGTTTCCCAGATACATGTATGTAGGTTTGCCATTAATCCTAACTGCCAAGGGAGTGTGTAAAATCATATTGAAATCAGAGGATTTGGGACTGTTAGGGTAACAGTGCACGGTATACCATCAGAGTACAATAAAATGTTGGCTAAATACGGCCTTTTCACAATAGCGCGCCACCAAGAGTTTGCAACGCGTTGGCCAATCACAATGCGCGAAATTTTTCGACCCAGTGCGTGTTTAGAATGGGGTCGACAAATTTTGCATGTTACGATTGGCCAACGCATTGCAAACTCTTGGTGGTGCACTATTGTGAATCGTCCCGTGTTGTGGATGGTTATGTATAAAAGTTTTTAAAGTTCACAAGGTATGAGTCTTCAAGGTAAGAGCTGGAACTTTCTGTAGATGGTGGGTGGAATTGGATCAAACATCTCTCAAGAATACCTGTCCACAGATGTCATTTTCACAGTTTCTAGTTCACAGTTGAAAGCCATTATAAATGCCCCCACAATGACTACGAACCACAAAGTGGCAAAGTTTTTATGCCTGTCTGTGACAGTAACATTCTGATCCACATTATGGAGTAGTTTTATGCGTAACTTTTTGTCCCTCTCATTTTTCATGTTGTCAAGGTTTCTGTTTTTTTTTGTTTTTTTTTTTAGTTTAAGTTGTCATTCCCTAGCCCTTTATGTGAACCCACTCATGATTAGTGCAAGAATTCACAGCTTTCCAGTCCCTCTGTGTCACCCACCCCTGTCCAGCACCCTGTCAGAGACACCAGAAGCTTGGTAACAACAATCTCTCTCGGAAAAAAAAAAAAAAAAAATTGCACCGTCAAGATTGATATAGAAGGGGTAACAGGACATGCATGGGTTCAAACCCTTTGGCAAATCATCTGTCATATACCCTCCTCCCCTAAGAATTTCAAATTTAGGGGTGCTGAAAGTGTTTGTGCGAGTGGCTTTTTTTCCCCTCTCTGTCTCCCCTCTTCTCTCCCGCCAGGGAATGTTCCAGAATTTATGAATCCGGGGGTCTTGGATTGGACTGGGGAAATAAACATGTAGCCCATCGCGACTTTCATCCGTGAACCAAAAATGTAGCTAATGAGGATGAAATGTGCCGTATAGATTACACGATGACACGTGTTTACGTTTAGATGTGCTGTTGCATTGATTTCAGCCCGAATGTGGCAGGCAGGAACAAAAATGTTTATGGGGTTTGGTGCCCATTTATTTCTCATTTATGAGCGTGAAGTGTCAATCTATTTTACTGCCACTGTCAATCTTTTTTTGTTTCCCCTTCACGAAAATAACAGTCTTGGAAGAAACCGAACAAATCTCATTTTGTCAGAATGTTCACCCAGAATGTTACTTATTTGGAGGAAATAGTAGAACACAGAAATTATTTTTATCGTTGGTCACCGAAAAAAAAAACCTGTAGGCTGGAACCGGTATCTTTCTGAGATCTTAATAAGAATAGTATGTTGCTTCTTGTATGCATTTGATTGAATTGAAACCAGAGAGGCAAGAATTAAATCGGAACATCCTCGGGGAAGACACATCATGAAAAGCTGCATGGAATGAGTGATTATCGTTGCCTTGGTGGGACGCACAGAAAAAAATGATGCATGCCTGGTCAGATAAAGCTGTGCACCCTTCGGGGCCTCAGGGGCGCTTGAGCCTCCCCCACCCCCGAGATTTTCTTGTTTCTTCACTTTCTGAAAAACAAAGATACACTATACACCAACGTCTTAAACCACTAGCTCTGATGTAGCCATACATCCCCGTCCCTCGTTGAACAATGGGAGGGAGGTCATAGGCTTTGGGGAGAATATTTTAATTTTAATCGGAGTCCCCCCCCAACAAATCTTGGGTGTGCCACTGTGCTGTGCACATCGCTTGCATGAAAGAAAAATGACTGTCAGTGCCTTACCAACATACAGTAACCAGCCCTGTCTAGATTTTGATTCTCAAAAATGTGTTACATCTGTGTTAAAACATAAAAACTTTCATTGACACATGTTTTGTTCTAAATATTAATCTTTAAATGAGAAATCATTAATTCGTATGCATTTCTGTGATGATTATTATTTTTTCAATAAAGTGCCTCAATTGGTGGTGCTGGGGCAAGCAGCAGCAGTGCCAGGAAAAAGAAGAAAATGGCCGACAAGGTTCTGCCTCCACGGGTCCGCGAGTTGGTACCTGAGTCCCAGGCCTACATGGACCTTTTGGCATTTGAAAGGAAACTAGACTCCACCATCATGAGGAAGAGGCTCGACATTCAGGAGGCCCTCAAGAGGCCCATGAAGGTCAGTGTCTGGTTTTTGGGTGAAAATGTTTGAGCTAAAGCCAGTAAGATCTGTGAAAATTTAAAGTATTGAATTTTTTCAATACTGCAGGCATCTACTTTTTAAGAACCTAAAAATTGTACATGTACCAGTATGTACGAGGAAACATCATAGTTACCCATTTTCAATGGTGCAAATTCAGAGTTTGTACTGGACTTGAAGTCTGTGGCTTTTTAAGATGTACATGTATCAAAGTGTGTTAGTTTATTTGGTTTGGCATAAGGAACAATAGAAAGTAGTAGTTGACTATTTTATCGTGGAAAAATCTTTCTCATAAACACTCTTACAAAACTAACAGCTGCCACTAATGAAGTTGAAGGATTGAATACACTACCCCTTTAATACTACAGTAATAACCCCCTTGAACTCTGACCTAATGGCCCACTCTCCTGCCACAAACTGGCATGTACTGTATCTTAATTTCCTGGTGTGGTTACGCAAGGGTAGGGAGTGGGTTACCGCATGGTCGGGCCACAGAGTGGAGCCCCAAGCACGTCATTCATCCCTCAAAATGGAATCGAAATCAAATCAGGTATCAAGTTAAACACTTTCAAGACCCGTCAAAGGGTAAAGACTTCCTCTAGGTTTTTTTTTCCTTCAATCGAGCCCTCACTCCTAGTGTCCCTAGGGAGGTTGTAAAGTTGACTTAAGGTGGCAGTCAACTTTTGTCCGTGCCCTGTCAGTGACAATCCGTCCCGGGTATTAGTGTCCACCGCAGCGACACTAATAGAATGGGCCTTTTTCACCTGGGTTCAGGTGTGAAGATCCCGCCATTCATCACCGGCTCTGCCTCGGGGCTCAAACCGGCAAAGTTTACCTAAGCCTTTATGCATGCCTGGCTGACTAAACCAGCCTGGGCCCACCGATACCTCATATCAGAGACACTGCCCCTTCATGTAGATTTTATGTGTGCGTGTGTGTTGGGGGGGGATCTGTTACTGGTACATGTACATGTATATCCACCTGCCGTTACTTTTTTCCTTTTTTCGCGCTAAAAAGGAAGAATGCAGGCGATGAAAGGAGCAGCATTGGATGGCCTCCATGCATCAAGTTTCCCATGTATTTCTTTGTGTTGCCCGAGACCAATGAGATCTGAAGGCAATCTTTAAACAAGGGGGACATTGAATAGTTTGTGTGATGCACATGTATGTCTCAAGCTGCAGGATGAAGTGTGGGCAGTTGTCTCGAATCAACATGGAACGGCTAACGTTTTTTACAACATTCATTTTTTATTTCATGTTGTCTGTTACTTTTATCGTTAGTTTATCATCAGTCACTTTATTGTTAGCTCCCAACCTCTTATTTGTTACAGAATGCTTATTTCTGGTCTGTGTCAAAACTATGTGCATCAAAAATAAACAATTTTGTGTGTTGTCAACTTGTCAATACCCAGCCCGGAGTGCACCAACTTTTGGCATACTGACCCAGTACTTTTGTTGAAACAAAAACAAACAACCACATAGGCACTATCTTTTCAAAGCAGACCATAAAGAATGATACCACTTACCTACCGGCACATGTAGAGACTGCTTATAAAGCTCATATACGTGCATCAATTCAGGTTCACATATTTATTTCATAGAAACCTACTTTTATAATCAGTGTGACTTGTTGACATCAAAAGTTAACTTTGAGTCCTCCAAACTAGACCACATCTGCAAGCCACTCTAAACTTGTATCACTTGAGTAAACATCTGTGGTTTCTATGTGTGTGTGTGTGGACCCAGTGGATCTTGAGTTGACCTGCCTGAAATGCTGTGGACCAATCTGTCACATTGCAGCCATGTCGGTTTATTTTAAGGCACAAAGTCTTTTGGACTTGGGACAGGGTTTTGACCAGTCGCCCAGTACCAAGGTGTAAAAATCAATCTGTACTAATAATCCCCTTTGACCTCAGGTAATATCAGGTAATAAACAGTAGTTGGGGATGACCGTCTTTCAGATGTGTCATTGCAGTATGATTTTCATGTAATACTTTTACCGGTGGGGTTACTTTGAGGAGTGTGTCTTACCAATGTGCGTTCTGAATGATTAATTTGTCAAAGTTTGGGAAATGATTGGCTGGTTATGAGTTATTTCCCCTTTTTGGGCAGCATGATTTTGCCCATTTTTTCCCAGCAATGGAAAAGTGCTCTTTGACGTTGATTTCTTGTGATCTTAGAAGATTGAGTCAAATTTTTCGGCTTACTGCTTGACAGTAAATGAGAAAGAGGAATGCACAAGTTACCATGCCATAGAATGTGCACGGCATTGCTTTTAATAGGACCACGAACTGATGAACTTAAAAAGTGGCACCTGTTGAAAATCAGGTGGTCAGCTTATTTTTGATTTCCTAGAAGTTCTTCCAATTTCAGGAGTTTTTATCTGGATTTTCCCAATTTCAGGCTTTTTAAGACAGTGTCTTTTAAAATCTGGAAATGCCATTAAGGTGTTTTTATGTAGAAAAGTACATGTCGATATTGAGCGCAAGAAATTGGTATTTTAAGGGGTGTTGAAACATGTACATGTTGGTAAACACACCACAAACCCTACGCTGCTGAGGGGCCCTCAGAACTTCTGGTGATTATTTTGTGAAATACTTCATTTTCTTCCGGCCTCACCCCAGGAAAGGGGAACTGAGTTTATGATGTAATTTTATGTCCAACACAGCTTGATGAGATTTCAAGTTTGCATATAAGTGAAAGGAACATTTTAAGGAAGGTTTGTTGCAATACCAGGAACGGTTAGCTCTCCCATTTGGAACATTGTGCTCAGTTTATTTTAATAGTTAAAACAACTCACAGGGGAGATTCATTTAGCTTTCATACTGTTGCCGTAAATACCATAAACCCTCCAGACTTCAACAGGACTCGGACGTGAGTGAAAGTTCAGAGTTCTGCATGGTTAAGACCTTTTTTTTTCTAGTTGTGGTGGAATTGCTTTGCATAAATGTTGTGGGGAAATATAATGAATGACAAATTTGAAGTTGGCGTTAAGATATGAAAGAAAGTATGTCAGCAGTGCCTGATCTTAACGCTGTTTGAGGGGACATTGGTCAAGTGTGCTGAACATCTTTGCAGGTGTAGCGTAGATGGTATGTTAATTAAACATCAAAGAATGGGTGGAGAGTTGACTGCCTCGTCGGCTGGGGTTTCCAACCCTGAACATGAATAGGTCTCATGATGCCATCATCACCTGACACCTCCCAACACATTATACATCCCTAGGGCTCTAACTCGGACACACATTTGGCTTCCCACTCTGTCACACTCCGCCAGGTGATCTCATAGTAAACTTTATCCCGCTGCATCAACTTAAATCCAGGGCTGCAAATGTATACACAGGTCCTAACTGTCCCAAACAAAGGTCGTTGGAAGTTCACCTTTAAAAAAAAAACATGTGGTCACTCTCGATATGGTCGCCCCAAAATACCAAACTTGCCAAAATTTTGTGCTTTTCGGAGGAGCATCCCCTTTTTTTCCCCTGTCTCTCATGCTGGGGACGAAAAACAGCATCCATGTTTTTATCGGTTAAATTTATTTTGACTACCCCATCAGTCTTGCGTGGAATGCGAGCTCCCAGGTACGGCAGATTTTTGTATTATCATTTTGTCACCAAATGACTATCAAAAATAAACTTTTTTCTCCCGCCCGCATCAATCACGGGGTGCCTTGGTATACACCCTCACATTGGAGTAGTGCGCTGTTTCTCCCGAGCAACCTGCCCAGCATGTTTTTTTTTTCTGACTCTGTCCTGATAACCCAGAGTGGAGCAGTTTTATTTTTCAACAAGTGAAAGCAGAAACAGTCATGTAGTATAATATACAAGTTGTCCATGTACAAATGCTTGTAAACATGGCTGACCACTCCCCTCTCTCCTGAATTTGGAAGCCGAAGTTGCTGATTGGTTCATCTACTCGAAGGGTAATAAAATCTGACCCATCCTGCCCACGCCCTAATCTCAATCGTTGCCCCTCTCCATGTACATGCAGAATGTCCCCACGCCCTGTGTAAATGCCCATATCTTGCTGTCTGTCTCATGTTCAGTCATTCATTCTCTGTTTGAAATGAACATGAGATTTGATGCAGTGATTTTGAATGTCTGGCTTTTTTTCTCTTTTTGTGTATTATTGTTCAGCTTTGTAATGTTTGGTTTGCTTGTGTGTACACTGTCTGTAAAACTTTATTTTGTTTTGGTCGAGTAAATAATAATAACAATAAAAGTAATAATAGTTTTTGAACATCTAGAGCATTATACACGTAGGTCATACCTGCATGATTTATTTCCATTCGTCAACTTTGACTGTATTAGTCACTTTGGGCTTTGTTTTTTTTTTAATTTTGAAAACCTGTAAAATTGATCATTCCAAATTGATCTTTTCCAAATTTTTTGAAAAGTATCAATTTCACTGACCTTTTGACGTACCTTCTCTCTAGTAAGAGATCAGTAGGTTATTTTCCTTAGGTAATATAAAGCATCATAGTTATTATTCCATTATGATCGTTGGATTCAAAATGACTTTTTGATTTTTTATGGGGAAAAGCATTTCCAATATACCGTCATCAATCGCATCTCATTGGAATGTATCTTGTTGTGCATGATTTATGATTTATTATTTTGCCATCCCCAGCAAGGGCTATGATTTAACGCTCTATTTAAAATTCCAAAGAGGGCTTTGAGAAAACGCAGGTGCGCCAATTTGTTTACCATTCATCCGAGTTTTAGCAAGGCATTCCAGTGGTCAGATCCAAAGGCGAATATAAATTGCCCATTCTTCTGCTGTATCAAATGGGGCACACACCTGTGCCGTTTACTGTAACCAAGGTTTTGGTAGATTTGTTTTTCTTTCTCTATAACCGTCAAAAGACAATTTTTTTTATTTCTGAAGTGTCAGCTTCCTGTTTGTGATCAATCTAAATTCCATTTCAAACCATCAAAAAAGAAGTGTCAAAAATGCTGTCCATTAAATGGAGGATTTCTGA